GACTTGGTCTCTAATGAGGTAGGAACTGATAAGGGGTTGACAGGCGTGCAACAATATCTGATAATTTTGAAGGGAAGTTATGTAAATTAAATGGTGGCCACTTCCACTGTTTTCCCGCCAAAAATTGTGTCACGTGGCATCAATTGATGTCACCTTTGCGAGTCAAACAATGCATTAAATATATAACTTAAAATAAAATATGTTTTAATATCCAGCATTTTCCTTAAAATCCCAAATACTTTTAAATCCAAAAACTCATTCCAAAAGCATATGCATACATCACTTCAGGTTCTAGTCCTAATCATGAAATGTGCCCTTTTGATTTCAGACAAACACTTTACCCAACACTTTACTCAAATCAAGATTAAACACTTTACCCCTCTGACGATTCCTTCAAACCGGTCCCCACAACAACATCAGTATCCCGCGGTGTGAGGATATGTGATTATTGGTGGCGGGAGATGAGGAGACATGGTCCGAGATGTGATTGGTGGCTGGGAATCTTGTGGCGAAGGATGAAGGGGGGTGAAAAGAGAGAAGGCGACTGTGGGGAAGATAAGCTAGTGCGAGGCCTGTAGCATACGTTATAAAGGGGCCCTAAATAAAAAACACAAATATTAAAACACAAATGGTTTACTTGTGTAGTGACATAGAATCGGTCACATAGCAGCATAGCGCTGGCTGCTGGCAAGGAAGGGGATTTGCAGCTTACAGCAGCCCTGACTGACAGCAAGTCACGTGATAGACCAGAGAGGGATGTAGGGGAAAGGTTACGGAAGGGGCACATCAAGAACCCGCTGGAAGGTTCCAGAAGGGGGCGTGGCCGGGGGCGGAGCCAGGCCACGCCAACAGTATAAGAGGGGCCCCGGGAGGGGATCTCTGGGCTGTCGTGTGGTGTGGGATCCCCGTCGTTGCTGCTGCCGGAGTCTTCACCATTTCAGCATCGCTAGTCAAGCAGTCTGCCAGCTGCCCTGACTGGGAACCGTAGTTACTAAGTGTGAATTATTAGGCCGTGTTAATAAACAGAGTGCCTCCTACTCTAAGTGTCTCTGAGTCACTACACTTGCATAGTAAAATAATTGTATTTTTTCATTTGTTATACAGCCAGATGATACGACAAATCGCTAACCTTAAACACCCAGTCGTTCCTAAAAGTTGAAGGCGGTATAGTACTGTAGTAATAGAGCAAGTGCAGAATCACTGAACCGGAATTGATAGCTTGAAAACATTTAGCGCTGGGCCCTTGAACGTGCGGGGCCCGTAGCTACTACATATGTAGTAGCTACATATGTAGTAGTTACTACACATGTAGCTACTACTACATATGTAGTAGCTACTACACATGTAGCTACTACACATGTAGCTACTACACATGTAGCTGCTTGTGCTACTAGGATAATCCGGCACTGGGTAAGGGTGCATGTCGGAGGAGGGACTGGAGGAGAGAGCGGCGGATGAAGGAGGGAGCTGCGTTGCTACGGAGGTGATGGCGAGGAGAGAGGTCCGCTAAGCCCCCGCGACATGCGAATTGCCAATCCGGTAACTGTGAACTCGTTTATTCAGCCAGGTGGACGGAGCTGTGAAGGAATTTAAGAACCTCGCTCCCCCCCCCCCCACATCTCTTTTTTCCGAACTGCCGCGCCATCAGTTTTAAACGCCTACGTGGCAAGTATTCATTGATGTCCATTGCTTAACCAGTTTTGGTGCCCTTCGGAGGTCCGTCCTTCCCAAATCCAAATTAGTTGCCGCATGAACGCTTAGTGCAAGGTCACTTAAACGTGAATTTTCCACCACTTAATAATGCCGCAATGAACCCCCGTCGACCTGAAACTTGAGTTTGTTGACCGGCTATGGCTAACAATGAGTGGTATCTCAACTAGTCTTGTCACACCGCCCCACCGCCACCTCGTGCCCCCTCCCCTTCACCAACCCGCATTGACGAGCGTGGTGAAGTATGGTGGATCGATGCAGAGGTGCATGGTGGCCCTCATCCAGCAGTTGTGACAAAATGGCAGTACGTGTGATTTTATTGACATGTACACACTATAGAAAAGAGACTACGATCCCCCGTATAGCCTGAACAGACTGTTGGGGTAAGTGCTTTTAGCAAGCACCAATGAAGGCCGCACTATACACCGCACTATACACACATACATACACTTGTGTGTATGTACTTGTGTGCATGTGTGTATGACTCACGTCTGAATACTGAGCCAGTACTTCTCGGTGCCTGGTTCTCAGTCCCTGAAAAGGAATGTGATTTATTTGCTGTTATATTTATTATTTTTATATTTTAAAGCCCTTAGCAAAGCGCCCATAACAGGCAGTGACAAAATGAAAAATCTTCACTTTTTACCCAAAGCGGCCCCCAGAGTCACGAGCGTCTCTCTCTATATTGAGAGATTATGGGGACTTCTCACAACATTTAATCAACATGCTCCATTACCCAACCCTCCTGTGTGCACCCAACTAGCAGGGGTCAGTAATTTCCATTTTCACTCTTGGTTGTCCTCCGTCACCCCCGGAGCTGAACCTGACCCAAGTCAAGTGTACCCCCCCCCCCCCATTCAATTTCGAGACGGTCTTGTGCACGATGGTCAGTGACCGAGCCCAGATCATCAAACACACACTTGCGCATACAAGATGGCCCTTTTTTGCCGAGCAGAGGGAGCGGTGCTAATTTTTCGCTTGTCTGCCCCATGGGATCTCAGAGGGGGGGGGGGCTGAATCGGTACCCTTACATGGAGGAGCATTGGTTCCTTGAGCCTGCCCAGTCACAGCGGTGGGCGGAGGGATAGGGTGGGGGGGGTGAAGATTTATAGCGATGTATTTCTCTCCGGCGGATCTTAAAGGGACGTCTCGGGCGGAAAACGCCTGATGGCCTCGGCCCAGTCGCTCGCAACGAGCGAGAGGGGAGAGATTGAGAGAGGGCCGTGCAGCGCGGCGCTCTCCCCGAGGTTGTGAAATTTGCACTTAATTCAGCCGCCCTAGCTCAGAGAGGTCAAATGAGGCTACGGGGATGTCACGGCGGGAATTTATCTTCGGCGGCGGTAAATGTTGAAGATTTTAGGGATCGGCGTACTGTATATTGGTAGGCCATGCCTTCGAGAGGACAACCGCCGTGGAGATGGAGTGATTAAAATCAGCTCGCGTGCAGGTCCTACGGTGGATTACTACGTTGTAGGATTGTGGAAGAGGGTGGCGGTTTTGGGAGAGTCCCTTCATCCAGCAGTGGATTGACCATGGCTGATGATGGTGGTGGTGACGATAGGGTTCCAGAAAATGCCTTCCGAGTAACGGATGGCCCGTTTTCTGCGGCGTAACGCTCTAATAGCGATACAAATGTGCCCTCGAATATCATTTCGACCGAGTCGTCTCTGCGAGAGTGATCGCGTAGCCGCGTGTTGCAGACAGGCGGACAGATCTAATGCGTGAATGCTTTCAACCCTTGTTGCCCACACATCTCGTGTTATGAATATGACGTCAAAGCGAATTTGTTTCAACAAACGTGGAGCGTCGCTGTATTAAAAAAAAAATGTGCGGTGTTGTTTCGAGTCTCGATTTAACGGCTCTAAACATCTTACCCCCGCAACACCCGAGCTCGCTCCAGACACTTTAGACGGCGCTCGTTACGGGCGATTCCGACATCCGTCCGCCGATGCGCATTGTGTCGTACAACAGCTGACCCTTGTTCCTGCGCATAATTGAGCGGCTTCCATTCATCCAATGTCACTTTATACTGTAGAGTGTCGTCAAGTTGCTCCTAATAGGTAAACAAAACACACATTAGCCTTCGGTACAAACAGATGCCCGTGTGTGTAAACGATCATTCGATAAACACCGTGTTATTCTTGCATAGAACAATTGTTCGATATCCGCTAATGAGGATGTTCTTACAAACACAAACATGTCATCGTGTGTGCCCGTGTTTATCGTATTCTTGCACGTTTTGAAAAAGGCCCTCGAAGGTAAGGAGAAGCTCGTAAGTGTGATGGGGCACACACGTTGGACCGTGCGTGTTTGCCCTTCGTGCAACAATGTTAAGATTGGGTTGTGCTGTTTGACAGCGTTTGGCATGACCGCAAGCGTCTGCGACAACCCATCGGCTGAAACTTTGATGGCTGAATTTTTTTGTGTGTTTCCCCCCCACCCACCCACGCACCGATGCCAACATAAACTTCATTCCCTTTGCTAGTCGGTTGTTGTTTTTTTTGAGCCACCAAACATTGATAGACCAACTAGAAAGACGACTGTATTGTTATGCACAACAATGTGTTGATAGTTTGGTCACCGATACCCAATAACCCGTTTCCGTGAGGGTCGTTGGTTAAAAATAAAGGTTGACTTCAGGTCATAGGCTTGAAGGCTTTTGTGCCGAAACCACGTTTGTCATTTTGAATGCGTGGGGCTATTATTCAGTGTTAATGTACGAATTGTGCATTCGCAGGATTTTTTTCTGGATGATAAAAGTCAAAGTCTCACAAGCAGAATGTTTGGCCTAATTGTTTATTGCCTCTGACCAAATCACCCTCGAGGTGCCCAGTCCCCGACAGATCTCAAAAGCTAAGCAGGGTCGAGCCCAGTCAAGCCCTGGATATAGGTAGCAATGAGGTGTTGTAGGTGTTGGAGCAGTGAAGATGGCAGTGCTGGGTGTTACTACCTCAATGTGCGGTGGATGTTCTCTGTATTCTTCACCTCCCTGCTGTCACAAGAATAGCAACATCCCAATGCAGAATCCTCCTGAAAGAGAATCTTGACACTTGGCATGGCTTCCCGGATAAATAATTATTCAATATTTTGATGGCCCCCTTTCTTGCTCGTAACGCGTACACGTGATGTACCCAATGCGTGTACAACCACACATTATCCGTATGCGGCTAGGGCACACAGAGTATTGTGTCGAAACATTTTGTCCAGCGGCAAAACACAAGACCACGATTATTGGAATTCATGGGCTGACGAGGTTCTGTGTTCTGTCCTCTCTGTGTCCGTGTTTGCAGATCAATGTTCGGGTGACCACCCTGGATGCGGAGATGGAATTCTCCATCCTGCACACCATTTACGGCCGGCAGCTCTTCGACCAGGTAACTCGCGGGTGTCTGTTTGTGGACGTGCGGTCTGGAGTTGGGAAGGGCGGGCGGGGGGTGAGCGGTGTCGCAGTCTGCACGGCAAGGAATGCTTGTCCGCATCGTCTCCTAAGGCTTAAGCGTGGGCTCTGTGCGTCTGGTCCGTTGTGTCTGCGTGCGTGCGTGCGTGTGCGGTACAAATTGTTTCATGAATCATTTGACTTTTTTTAACATCAAGTTCATGAAGAATAATAGCAGTGGCCCGCTCGCTCCCCATGCCTTCTAAACCTGGGCCGCCGTAAAAGGACAGCCGCGCTCGTGTGCCTGCATGTGCATCGGTGCTTTAGCATCAACGTGCACATAGCCTGGCACACGCGCCGTGGTGACGTCACCAAGGCCACTCTATTAAACATTTTTTTATTTTACCAGGTAAGGCCCGCTGAGCTATATAGCTGTTTTTCAGAAGTAACCTGGTGATCACAAATGATAGCTCAACGAAGTGGTTTATCGCGTGGAAATGTATAGCAGCCAAATACTCTTTGGTTTTGTTCGGTAAAGTCACGTAGATAAAATAAATCAATAATTTTATCTACGTGACTTTACCGAATAAAACCAAAGAGTGTGAATCCTTGCAGTCACGAAAGCTTCAAATCTAGCAGCCAAATACTCTAAACGCACGTTGATTCTAAATGTGGAGAGAAAAACGGGATTACCCGGAGAAAAATCCACGCGACCACGTGGAGAGAGAGAGAGAGACACGCAAACTCCAAATCAATACACTCAACAGGTGTCGGGGTCGGAATCGAACCCACGACCACCCGTACACCAGGCGAGGTAGTTAACATCTCGCCACCGTGGCGCCATTCGGTCTCAAATGGCGGTTGTTGTTCTTGTGGCGTCCACGTTAACCCCGAAGCCGCCACTACCCTCACCTTGCCATACAATGCATTGCACCTGCACCCCCCCCTCCCACCGCAACTCCCCACTCCCCCAACTCCTCTCCACCCACCTAAAGGTCATCACCCGCATTAACCCTGCAGCTGGTGCTGCTGCTGATGGAGCCGCCCCACTATTTACCTCCTCCTGCCCTTGCCACCGCTTCCCTTGCATTCCGCTGCTCGCCCTTTACAGCGCACACATCCCATCCCATCCGCGCCAAGCACGCGGAACGGAACGATGAGAATCCGCCTGGGTCCCTCCGCCCATCCAGACGAGGGGGGTTCTATTAAAAATTAATGAATGACGTTCAGAATGGACGTTGTTCGTTGTTGACGAGAGGCAAGAAAGACGTCGATGTTCTTGGCAGATTTGGGCTTCTTCCGCAAAAATATCGAGTGACGGGAAAATATTATCTTTAATTAAACGTATTGCATTCACATATTTTGACCAAATCGCCTGGCATGCAACCGATGTCATATGATTTCAGAAGCTAAGCAGGTTTGGAGCCTGGAATAGGGCTTGAATGGGTGACCACCACCGTGCATCACCAGGACCTACCACCCACTCACCTGCATCCCCTCCTCCTCACCCCAATTCACAATCCGCACTGACCAGCGTGGTGAAGTATGGTCAAACAACTCCCCTGACCGACACAGCTTGGCGAGTGATATTAATGATACGAGGTCAGCGAGGCGTTCATTCGGCAGCGGGTTGACAAATGTCTGTAAATTATTATTTGATGATACGCATTGAGGCGACTGTGAACGTGGCTTACAGATGATAGGGATGCCACCTGCACGTAACATTTATTAGGCAATGGACAGCGCATTATTCTGGTGCAAAGTCCACCCTCCTCCGCACTAATTAAACTAATGAAATAGCTCGTGAGGGAGTTGTTGACTCGATTGTCTCACACGCAATTGCAGGCCAGGATGCGCGTCTCTGCATCGTCGCTGTCTGAATTTTGTTAAATCCGAGGGCGATAACCCGACAGGAGGGACAAATCGTTTTGCACTTAACTCTGCGACTCTGGATTATGTCCCCACCCTGACCTCAAACGACCCCGAGGATTGGGCCCCCAATTTTGCTTCCCACTTTCGTCCTCCCTCGGCGGTGGTGGCGGCAGCAGGAAAATGGTGCTGGGAAACTCAGAAGTCGCACCGCATGAAGCGGTCATTGCGTCCGCCGAATAATGAAACAAATAGCGATGCTCGAAAATAAATAAATAAATAAGAACACAAAAGACGCACGCACCCACAAATACTTGCTCACAAGTCACAACTTATAAGATTATACCGGTTTGGCTGGAGGCACACCTAGGGCGTGCTTATTCTCAAACAAAGCCCCTTGGAGCCGCTGAGCCCTGCCATCGCCTGCTGTGGCTGGCGTCAAGAATAGCCAACCTCCTAACCCCCCACCACCCACTGCCGCCCCCTCACCCTCCCAGTCGATGTGCCTCCCAGTAGCCATCTCACGGTCACCGCATCTCACCGCGTCGCGCGGCGCTTCCAAGTGCGCTTCTGCGGCCGTCTGGAACTCTCTTCCTTCCGATGATAGGAAACCACTGGAGCTGTGCACTTTAAAATCATGATCGTCATCATCTGGATTTGAAAACTCGTTTTTTTCGAACTGCTTTGTTGTGTCTAGTTTGTTGCCCTTCACCCCCCCCCCCCGCACCTCCGATTGGCACGGATGGCTACGTACGGTGCGAAAGAAGTTCAACGTACACACGTACAGTTCACAGTTTATCTCTCTGTGTGTCACCGCTGCAGCCAGGCGGTTACATTTGCTCCGCTTGAGTTTGATGTTGCCCGAGAATAAGAGGACCAAAGTGCAAGATTAAAGTTTGGCATCTTTGAAAAGAGTAAAGCCCATTGGAGGGTTCACTTGTAACTTGCTGACTTCACCCTACTATAGACATTTGTGAAAAATAGCTTCATAACCCATCGGATTCCTCCAGTATATATATAAATATTCTCACTTCTAACAGCCATGTTATTTGATACGAGCTCAGGGTTGTGTGTATGTGTGTACGTGCTTGGGGAGCGGTGGTGTCGTGACTCACGTGCTGTGCTACGAACCCCGGCAAACCGAGTTCGATTCCCGCTCATGGCCAACGCAATTGACGATTATCTGAACCGGTTCTGGGCCTCCCCGAGGTCGACTCGGCCTCAAATGAGCACCTGGTGCAGTGAGTAAACATCGCCACTCAGCAGACAATGGTGGTTAAGCATGGTGCTGGCAACCAACCCCCTCGTGCTCCGTTGTGGCCTTAATAGGTGCTCGCTAACAACACTTGCCCCAAAAGTGTGTTGTGGCTATACAGGGAATCTTTGTCTACGAGAATAAATTTGCATCATTTCGTGAGCGATTTCATCAATCACGAGCACCATGCATAACAACGCTGCCGCTTGCATAAACGTGTCGGATAAGTAAGCGCGTAAATTTACGAATATTTGAAAATCTACTTTATCCGTCCGCTCGTCTATAAATCGCTTAAAGTTTTCCCGTCCCGTGGCTCTTGACATTGGCAAAGAAACGAGCAAAGTTTTGCGTTTAATCAACCACTTGGTGAGTCATATTGTTGCCAAGCCTCTGACGGGCTGAGAAGCCCGCAAGTAAACATTTGCTTCAAAAAATTGACATCGCGTTCTCTCTCCCCGGAACGAGATGCCGCCGCCGGATTACAGAAAATCCTGCATGAGGGCAGTGCCCCGAGATTAAAAAGTTCACGAAGTTGTGCACTGTTTAAAGGGCTGACGGAGGTTTTTGCGTAAAGCAGAGTAGATAAAGTGAGCAGTTGAACACTTTCGCGACCGATGTTATTCATCACAATGGGTTTTTCGGGTTAGATCGCGTAAATACAAACGCTGTGTCGTTAATCTACTATCACCCAACCACAGCCAATTAGTAAGGTGTGTCACGTAAACAAAACGTGCCAATTCGTTACTGCTTCAGCACACCGCCGGTGTGTTGGAGAGTAAACCCAGCACAACATTTACAATTTGATGACATCACCTTTTTTTTTTTAAGACCGGACACAGGAAGACTTCTTTACAATTCTGGAAAATCGCTTGATGATGCTGGTTGTAATTACCAGCGTCGTACTCAATTTGTTAATGTTGTGGGTTTACTCTCCAACACACCGGTGTTCTGCAGTAGTAACTAATTGGCACTTTTTGTTTACGTGAGAAATGTTACTAATTGGCTGTGTCGAGTGGTGGAGGGTTAAGGACACATTTATATTTGCGTGATCTAACCCAAAATCCTTTATTGCGAAAATGAGCAGATTGAAATAACAAATTGATTGTGTACCCTAAGTTCTATTCAATTTCTCTCAAGCGATATTAATGTGGCCTATTTCTAGTTTCTTTTCACGTTCATTTAGCAAGAATGCAGTTATATTTATCGGCCGGGCGTTCAATTGCGTTAGTATCAACTTTCAACACCATGCACCAAAAAAGGAAAGAACTGAGTGAATTTCATGTCTCTGAAATATTGAGGTCTGTAACGCTTAAGATTTGTTTTTTCGAAAACTACTTTACAAAAAAATTCGTACACAACTATTAAAAAAAAACCGTGCCCCATAAAATTCGGAGCTGAAATGACAACCACACCCCCATCCCCAGGGATGCTCGAGGTGCAGCGCTCTGTGTAGGTTTACACCCTGCTCAGGATTTACGAGCCCGATCCCGTGAGTAGGATTTTTAATCGACGAGCTACAAAAAAAACCCAGGGACATATCATCGGAAGAACCGGGAGAGTTCAAACATGTAAACACTTTGCATTGAGTGTCATATCATCCATCACCGTCGGCCGTGATCACTCCACTGCTGTGTTGTTGCACAACCGACAATCTGGGACTTTTAATGCCCCGGTAAACACTGACAGGTTTCACCGGACAGCAATTACCGCCGAAGAGACGGCGATCCTGGGAAAAGCAGGAAGGGTGGCAACCCCCTGACCTCTGGGAGCAGTGGTGGTGTTGGCCCAATGGGAGGCACCCTTGGCTAATATTATTCCTCGTGGGCCCTGCCTTCAATTTATAAACCCCTCGGTGAGATGACGGCAAGGATGGAGATGAGAAGTAAGGATGTGGCGAGACGAATGTGGACAACCGACGGAGGTGTAAAGTGACGAGTGAAGAGGGGGATAGGAATGAGACCGGGGATGTTGGTGCAAGGTGAGCGAGATTTCGTGAGATGAGGGCTGCAGATCAAATTGAACTGAGAGGGTCGATTTATCTTTTCCGTGTTCATTTTCTTCTGTTCAGATTTGAGTTAGAGCGCATGTTTTGGTGCATTCCGATTCAAAATGTAATTTATCCGGGGGCCCCCTTGAGCTGCCTGATTTTGCGTTGGCCCTCGTGCCACCACTGTGCGGGAGCGCTGGGGTTTCATGTCAGAGTTGAGGTGCTGACGGTGTCTGCTCTCTGTGTGCGTGTGTGTGCGCACGCGTGTGTGTGTGTGCGTGTGTGTGTGTGTGCGTGTGTGTGTGTGCATGTGTGTGTTCCGCAGTGTGGAGCGGTAGTGTAGTGGTTATCGCGCTGCGCTACGAACCTGCGGACCCGGGTTCGATTCCCGCTCACGGTCAATACCAGTGACGATTATCGGAACAGGTCCTGGGCATCCCCTAGGTCGACTCAGCCTCAAATGAGTACCTGGTGCGGTGTGTGAACATCGTCACTAGGGAGACAAAGGCGGCCGGGCGCGGTGTTGGCCACCCACCCCCTCGTGTGCCGTGCCGGCCTTCATAGGTGCTACTCGCTAACAGCGCTTGCCCCGACAGTCTGTCAAGGCTAAACGGGGGATCTTTGTCTTTGTATTCTGCAAGGTCGTGCGCACCATCGGACTCCGTGAGGTCTGGTTCTTCGGGCTCCAATACACGGACCTCAAGGGTTCCATCGGATGGCTCAAGATGGACAAGAAGGTACTCGCAACCGTGACATCTCCACGAAGCCCACCCAGCAGAGGGCCGCGTTGTCCGATTTAAATATTGAAGTGATCGAGTAGCCGGCCGATTTTATCGATCACATCGCTCGCAAAATAGTTGGGGAAGAGTTCCACCCCTGTTCCCACGTCGCGTGCCGTTTCACGGGAGCCTGACATGGAGTGTGGCTACGGGACGTCATCGGCGTCGTCGTGAATTGCGTGACGCACGGCGTTTCTCGCCGGGGCTCCCCTACTTTTGTTGAGGCAGGAAGGTGCATTGTGTGGGACGGCTGCCATTTTTCTAATGGTTTTCCAAGTAATGGACCACAATTAAACAAAAAAGTAATCCATTACAATCGTTAGTCGATTAATCTACATAATCAACATCACCGTGTAATGGTCCCAGCTCTACGACCGCAGCCTGCATGGCACTCAGACAAATAAACTCACCCACACTTCATTGAGCAGTGTCGCGTGTGCTCGCAGCTGCTGCTTGTAATGTAGTTGTTTTTCTCAATTCTCATCTCGGCTGTGTCCAGCAAAGATTTCCCAAGTGAAAATGGTGCTTGCGAGCGCACACGTCAATCGTGACGTTTGGCCGGTCTTTTGGATTCACACGAGGGTGAGAATTTCTAGAGATGACGGCTGCAATGGCCCAGCCCAGGTGGTGGCCAGCACCGTCGCTTTTGAGTTCTCATTCCCTCACTACGTTGGCGACATCGGCATTCGCCCGTGAAGGCTTTCGCAGCAAGAGGAATAGCCGGTTTCGTAAGAGTAATTTATTTGAAGGAAAAAAACCTTGCTTTTTTAAATATTTGTAAACTATGACGGCTGCGTTGTCCTCATTAAAATTCCGCCTGTGCCGTCAGCTTCCTGCCATGCGCTGAACAATTCTATTTGGAACTCTTATTGTGCCAGAGTACGGCCCCAGAATGTGATGAAACAAAACTTCTTCCTTATCACCAGTGTTGCTTCCTTATATTCCCTGCAAAAAAACCCATCTTTGTCGCATGGCAATCAAACCAGCATTTCTACATGTCGGAGCTGAAACGAGCCGAATTAAAGTGGAAAAACTAAAATTGAATGTGTTGGACACTGGCGAGACCGGGCTGAGACCATCAACGCGCTATCCTTGTGTGACCGGTTTAGTCACGGACGTATGAAACCTGGATTGAAACCCAGACGCCAGCATTGTTGGCTCTGTGCTGTGACCTATGAGCCACTCTGCCGCTACCTGAGTGTGTTTATTTTAGTGAAACGTGAGTTTGTATTGAGCGGCTAAACTGGTATGCCCTCATAATGCTTTCAAGATACTACCGGCCAGCAGCTCTTGCTACGGAGGTTGCACAAATATGTTTTGCTTGGGAAGAAGCTGAAATATGATGGCCGTTTCGGCGCATACAAGTGGGTCCAAGTGACCGTGCAATTCCCTCCCAGGTGAACTTGTGAGACAATGAGTTTCCAAAATGTACAGCTCTATTAACGTGTAAATAATATGGGCATTGTGAGGCTCGGAGTACGATTTCTTCAGCTGCAGTGGCGTTCAACACTGCACTCATGAAACAAATGCGGTTCAAAGCCATGCCACTGTTCACGATAAAATTAGATAGTTTTTTTTGGTCTGCATTAATTTTCTCATCCAGTAATTATCTCAAACATGCCTTTGTTCTGGCGCCTCTGTGTACTGTACAGGAGGCGTGGTATCAATAATGAATGATGGCATCCCCGAACTGCCGTTATATACTTATTTAAGCTTGTCACGTGGTCACAGTTCACCAACCAGTGACAACAACACAGCGATCCCTGAAAATAAAATCCCATCACTCTCAGCTCAGCCACCACCAATGACTGCACACACACACAAACAAATGACCCATTGTTATTCAATGTGGTTGGGCACAATTTGGCTCCATTACAGCAGCCGGTAATGTAACATTACATAGGGTTTGATTGTCACGCAGAGTGTTTTAGAAAGTGTGTGTTAAAGATACGGAGGCGACGAAGATGCTCTGTCAAATATTTGTTGTGCAGTCAATCACGGATACGTGGGAGTAGGATATTTTTCAAAATTGGATTTTTTTTTCCGTGTCGGTGACTCAACGCTGATAGAGCACAAGGAATAGTGTTGAGGAGAAGAGAGAAAAAAAAATTCCCCCAAAAATAGAGGCAAAAAAAAATGTGGACGAGCCGAACAGAGTGATAAGTTATTTTTAAATATTTTCTGAAGATTGAAAATATTGGATGTCGCCCGATGCTCTGCTGGCTTTGAAACCCACTCGGGAATTATTCTCATGACATGCTTGATTGGCATCGTAATTCGTAAAGAAGTGCAGAGACACGCATGATAAAAAGAAGAGGCAGTCGCCTGGGAAAAAAAAACTCCATTAACGAATCTGTTTAGTTCTCTCGTTGTGGAGCGCTGTTCTCCCATTATAGCAACAACAACAAAGCAATCGAAACTCCTCATTTTTTTAAGATGCCCATTAAGAACCACATTAAGGAGATGATACTCATTTAGGAGGCATACTTATTTTTAAAATCCCTCGCTGCATTCCGTAAGCAACGGCTACACGAATGCTCCGATTGGCTATTAGGGAGCGCCAATTAGCCTGACAGCACCGTGCCGTTGCTGAACTCTCCGCTGCGCCTGTTTAACATACCCAGGTGGGGCACGGTGCGCGCAGAACGGCCGCGTGCTGTTCGGAGCGGGAGGCCGTCGCACGGGGGGGCAGAGAAGGCGACGAGCGACGGGCACCTCCCCGGGGGCATTCGCATTTCTCAGGGGGCAGTTGGGGCCCGTCGGGGAGTGAACCTGGACCCCTCACTCCGCACGGGTTAGCTACTTCGCCGGAGAATATCGAGTGTTCCCGCGACACAGTCCGTTGAAGGCTTGTTGGACACAATCCGAGCTCTGTGCAGCAGGAGAGTGATACCGATTGGCCCTGCAGGTGGGGAGGAGGGGGTGATCTGGCATCACGGGCTGCGTGGTATCTAGCCGGCTGCTCTTCTCCGCTTAATGTGCCCCCCCCTCTGTGAACTCCCGAGGGTAACTGCCAAAAGTTTCAGGGCATCTTGCTTTGATGTTGGTGAAAAGGTGAAGATAAAGGGGCACCCCTGTAATTACTTGTTCAGGTCACTGCTGGCAGGAAGGGGCCCTCGCACTCGCTGCACACAAAGTGCTTGCCACAAATTAACCACAGCAACACCTCGCCGATCTCACCAAGGAGCATAAACCACCACGCGAATTTCGGTCACCCTCGCAGCAGCGGCTTTTGGCTGGCCGTCGGAGAAAGACGGTCACCGCATCGCACGCTTTCAGATGCACGTCTGCGGCCGTCTGGAACGCTCTTCCTTCACATATTAGGAAGCCACTGAAGCTACGCACTTTTAAATCATCTAGATTGAAAACTCACTTCCGTTAGAAGTGCTTTTTGTGTTTAGTTTGTTGTCCTTCCCTCCCCGCACCTCCAATTAGCACGGTTGGCTACGTACGGTACGAAAGAAGTTCAACATACATAGCACAAGAGACTTCTCGTTTGTCTCGAGGTGGTGGACGAGTTATTACTGCTGGGTGGAGGGAGGTGGGGGTATTTAAGAAACTGGCGCCGTTATTTCAATTGCTGTGCCCAGATATCGAACCGGCGACCTCTGGATTGCAAGTCCGGCTTGCTAACTATGACAATCCAGCAGCACCCATCGCCTTTGAAATTGATGAGGCCTTTTATAATAACACCGCTAGGCAGTAGTTTATTATTATTGTTTCTGAGGATAACATTTAATATTCTATAACTTTATCAATAACATAAAATGAAAAGTTCAGCGTGAGGGGGAAAGAGTCAGTGTTGTCAATTACAATTTGTACTCATGTCTGATACACTTTTGGTATTTAAAGTTCACAAACATAAAATAGATTAAAACTTTGAGGCACATATTAACCTGATAAACTTCTAGGAGTGCAGATAATTCCTGAACACACAGCAAACCAGCACTCAATGATGCTAAAATATTTAGACTGGAAATGTGTTTAACTTTGTATTAATTTTACAAATATTTTTGGTCAGTTTCATGAGGGGAAATATTGTTATTCCATCCCAGTGAGCTCCATTTCACATAAATCCCACGTTCGTTTTGGTTATTTTTTTTCACCTCTTAAATGTCAAAAGAAAAGGTCTTGGGTGTGAGATTATTTTAAAATGGCGGTGACAGCTGTCTCATTCTGAAACAACAGTATTGCCTCGTGCGATACTCACAGCAAACTGCATGCTCTTCCATGAAATATGTGCTTGCCATCTGCACTTACCCTTCACATTGTCTTGGGCTATTTTATTTATGAAATGTCCCCATTGGGAAAACAATTCAGCGAACAGACTCGTGTAAGCTCACAGGTCTTACTCTACTCAGTCCTTTTCCAAAAATATGTAACAAATGGGAAATCTTCCCCATGGACGTTCACTAAGTACATTTTAGAAAACGAGAAAAAAATAATTCGAATACTTTTCCCTTGCTGTTGAAGCCAGAGAAGTAATCTTTAACACGAATGCACATTCCCATTTGTCAGAGATCACCAAAGTGCATCGCGTTAGTTGGCCGGCTTAGCAGGAAAATCCGAGGCTCGTCTCGAGTAGCACTGTTTCATTTTCTAAAACTGCTCTCTTTTAAAAAGAGATCATTATGGACAGTTGTGAAAAAAATACTGCAAAGCCCCGCTGTGGAAGTGAAGCGTCTTTTTGACGTCACCTGTTAATCTATCAAAGGCCGGCTCTGAGCCTTGGCAAAACCAAGTTAACTTAGAAAAAATACAAACGTGTGAGCCTATTAACCCTTATTAAACCACGCATGCTGCTACTGCTGTGATAATTCTACAAGTTACTGGAATATATATTTATTACCAAACCAGAAATATCTATATTCATGGTTCTTTCGGTAAAGCCACGTAGAAGGGAAACAATAAAATAATAAATATATTTTTTATTATTTCATTTTTATTATTTTATTGTTTATTATTCTATTGTTTCCCTTCTACGTGACTTTACCAAAAGAACCAAGAATATGAATCCCTGCAGTCACGAAAGCTTTAAATCAGAAATATCTATCTTCAACATCGTCGTGCTCAAATGGGTCAGTGCACCGGACTTGCAATCCAGAGGTTTGATTTTATCTCCTGCCAGGGCAGTTGAAATATTTAAGCCTGTTGTGTTGTGAACCACCCCCTGCATCTCACAGCATCTGTGCACCCAGCAGTAGGCCACAATCATGGGTGGTAGGGTTCAAGTGTGGCACAATAGCCCAAAAACACCTTCTAGAGGTGCTGTCGAATCGGTGCTCTGTCTAGTGAGGGCCCTTCTGCCAGCAGTGGCATTAGAAAGGCATTTTAGGGTTGCACCTTTACCTTTTACCATACACAAACGTTTGAAGAAAAAAATCATATGAGGATCAACTAAGGCAGATGTAACAGCATCTAATTAGGGGTTGCAGTACTGTACACACTGTCCTGCCGTAGGAGCAGCTAACACTTGGCCTTCAGGTATTTATTTAAAATCTGGGTGCTTGTGACCTAACTGCATTCCACTAAAATATGTGGCAGAACTGCATGTTTCGAATGTTTTCTAACCCAAGTTTATTCCTGTGCAAAGATGCTTAATGATCTTCTGACGATGACAGTTGTTGAAAACAGCCTCGGGCTTCTGTTGTCTCAGCACACGTTTTTGCTGAGGTTGCTCCACACAATAGCAGCAGTGCGGCCTACATCAGGATATGGTTCCTGGGTTTCTGTGCTGTACAAAGGAACTTGCCTATAGAGTAGCCAAGCACATTGATCCTACGTGAATGGCTCGACCCCGAGGGATCCATTTGACATGGAGGGTAATCGGTGGGCAGTAGAGGCCACAGTAGAGGTTTTTTTCTGGGGTTAGATCGTGTAAATATAAATGTGTCTTTAAACCCGCCACCACCCGACACGACCAATTGGCAAGGGTTGTCACGTAAACAAAACATGCCAATTCGTTACTAGTACGGCACACTGGTGTGTTGGAGAGTAAACCCACAATATTTACAAAATGTTCTGCACTTCTATACATCCATGTCTATGCGCCACACCTTTCCCAACCCACGCCACTGACCAGCGTGGTGAAGTATGGTTAAATATCACCCACAACCCCACCCCCACCCTGTGTGGCGTGGGGAAGACCCTACTCCGCCAGCGGTTGAAGCAAAGGGCAGTTCTGTGTGCTATTCAACAACGTTTTAAAAAAGAAACATTACAAGTCGGTTGTTTTAGTGAGAAAATAAAATGTTGCCTTTTTGCGCTTCGGCATCGGCACATTTTTTTTGTCGTTGCGTCGGTGTGGGTTGTAAAATCCTCTTACGGGGTCGTCATCAGTTGGAGGGTGTGGTACCACGAGGTATGTTGCCCCGAGGTATGCTGCAAGGATTGGTGGATGTGGTCCAAAGGCCGCAAGTTTTTGTGTTTTGTTTCTTCACGCACGTCGTGAAAAGGAATGCGCCATCGTCACCGTCCCAGCGTCGGCACGTCCCAGCGCATCCGACGCTCTGATATTTTATGAGCGTTTCGAAACGCAACTAAAACCATTTTTATTTTACCAGGTAAGTGTCCGCTCAGCTATATGGCTTCAGAAACGACCTGGCTATCACAAATGATAGCTCAATGAAGTGGCTTATCACGTGGACATTTATAGGAGCCGAATACCCTAAACGCTCGTATCTCCGGTATAGAGACAGGCACTCGGCTCAACTGTGCCCATATTTTTATTGAGTTCAGGCCACTCCCAACAACACTAATATGCGGAGAGAACGTACGGATAAATAATTTAAATGGTTTCCCTCCTTTTCAGCCAGTGGAGGAGCCGATGATTCTACAAAGTCTCTTTTTCAAGTAGAATTTATAATGAACAATAATGTGCATTGTTCTTTATAATATCAAGGAATTCCATAATGAGTGTCAAGATTTCACATTGGCATGTTTAGCCAAAGTTTGAGTGTTCTACATGTGGAAGAGAACTAGAACACCCAGAAATAACCCATGTGTACTGATACCTACACATTGATATGTCGTAAAAATCCACACGGAGGAATCCAAAGCCTACTTGGTGTACTGACAGGTGGTGGCTGCTCCAAGGGCCTACTGTTTGAGAGATCTCACGATGATTATTGCACCGTGAAACTTTACTTTACAGTCCTAAATGGTTGAGAAAACTATGCCCAAGTAAATAAGCCACTTTTTACGATTATACAAATGATTTAAAATTACCAAACAACTTTACATTGTCTGAATAATCCTGGAACTGGCCACATGCACTTCCACTCCTGGCCACCGGATTAGTTCCCCCCACCCCGCCCGTCTCCACGGGCCGTGTCAAGACAGGAACCTCGCAGTATTTTGCCGAGCCGGGAACCGAACCAAAGCACGAAACTCTGGCCTCACAGGACGCGTGTGAATGTGGCTCGGAGGGGCCAAGCGGGGCCAGGCGTGGAATCGGAATGCCTTTTTAATGTCGGCGGCTCTAGATTGTTTTTGACACTGCAGAACGCGCCATCGCCACCATTCCGGCGTGGATGACCAAGTCGGCACGTCCGAGTACATCCGACGCCGGGGACGGTGGCGACGGCGCCTTCTGCAGTGGGAAAAAACAATCTACAGCCAACATCCCGATCTGCGCCGGGCCGGCACGGCACGGGTCCCGGGCACGGCTCGGTTGTGCGGTAGAAAAAGAAAGGTGATGAGAGGGTACCCACGGCTCATTTCTCTCCCCTCCCCCCCCCCCTCGCTCCAACCTCCCCTCCAAGGTCTCCTCGCACGACATCCGCAAAGAGAACCCGGTGCAGTTCCGCTTTCGCGCCAAGTACTTCCCGGAGGACGTGTCCGAGGAGCTGATCCAGGAGGCTACGCAGCGCCTCTTCTACCTGCAGATCAAGGAGGGCATCCTCTCGGAGGAGATCTACTGCCCGCCCGAGACCGGCGTGCTGCTCGCCTCGTACGCCGTGCAGGCCAAGTACGGCGACTACAGCAAGGAGAAGAACCCGCCGGGGTACCTGGCCAATGAGAAGCTGCTGCCCTCACGGTGAGAGAGCGTTTTGTTGTCTGTGTGTGTGTGTGTTCGCACGTGTGTCCGTGTGTGTGTGTGCGCTAGTGGGGGAAGCGGTGGTGTAGCGGTTCGGCATGCTGTGCGACAAAGCCAGCGACCCGGGTTCGATTCCCCCTCGCAGCCAACACCGGTGACGGATACCTGAGCCGGTTCTGGGCCTCCCCTAGGTCGATTTCAGCCTTACACGAGTATCTGGCACGGTGTGTAAAGAGCAGCACAGCCTATGTTGATGACACGGGGATTTTTGCCTTTGTTCTACATTTGCCTATTACCTAGCCAACCGTGCTAAACGGAGGTGCGGGGAAGGACAACACGGCATATTTTCCCACGTGATAACTTGATTTTATTTGCTCTGTCGGACGGTGGAGGGTTATAGTAAAATTTAAAAAAATGACATACCTACACCATCTAGCCCAAAATAAACTATGAATCATAGTATTGGTTGTGAAAGCCCTTGTAAGGTTAAGGTCATTGGAACAAAGGGTGTCAAATATAAGCACACGATGCTAATGGTAGAGTAACAACAACAGCAACAAGGGTGATGAGTGAGACCCGTTGAAGGTAGGTTACGAACGCTGTCAATTTGACATTTTACACGGTGGTCAGTCTACAGCTTGCTTGGGGTAAATTGTGGGTACTCTCACATCTTCCAAGATGTCTGGCCAATGTGGAAGAGTAGGCCAAATTCTCTCTATAGGGGCTCTCCCTAGATATCCCTGTAATGTCGCTGTGTCCCTTCTGCCAGCAGCGGCACGAGCAGTAATTTTTAGGGCTGCACCTTTGACATTCACGTGCCAAACTTGTGCAGCGCACTCTGGGTCGTAGGATGACAAAGACAATGTCATGCGCGGGCTATCTACATGACTGCGCTTCTATTTCAATGTGCTGACACGACAGACTACGTTGATGGCGTATCCTTGTGATAATTGCCAAGGGACTATGCCGTTCAATTAGACTGGCGTTGTCGTCCACAGGAAGGCACGCATTTCCGAGACATAACCCGGTTTATGTGCGAAGTAATTACGCTCTCTGTCGCCTTCGCGGTTACAACCCAGAGTGGGTGGGCAGGGCGGGGGCGGGTCGGTGGGGTGGCTGGGATTTCAAATTAAAGGTTCCGTCATACGACCACTTGCCGCTCTCGCAGGCAAAACCGGGCCACGTGGCCGCCGTGAATTTGTGGGGTGAGACGGCGTGGGCGACTGTCGGTTCAACGCGGGCGCGCCACGCGGGTAGCCCATTTGTTTTTGCTACCGTCGTAAAACGAGCAAATCGAGTGCAACGCTCAGCCGTTGGCGCTGCTCTTAAAAGGCCGTTGCATAAAATGTGAACTCTGGCTTGGAGCGTGGGTGCTGGCGCTCTGGGCCCGTTTCTGGGCGCGTTCCCCTGTTCTCTTTAAACCTCGCAGCGATGAACGCCGAGGCTTGCAGTAGTAGCAAGCCCGCGCTTCTAACACGGCACCGCACTGACCGATTTACAAGACGAATGAAGTGGGGCTCTGTAAGTGAAAAAATAAATATCGTTTACTACTTCACCTACACGCAACACTTATACGTGGTGCGTGTAGGTGAAGTATTCAATTTCAGATTTTGTTTGTTAAATGATCGTTTCTTTTATTTTAAATTTGGCTTTCACAAAAGCGACCCAATAATTTGTTTTAACCGCCGAGTGTATCACAGAAGTGCTTTAGCGGCTACTAAAAGGAGTGCCCGCAACTTCAACGGCATAGTTGGCGTGTATAATTGCACGCACTCGTGTCTTCGCTGTGAGTGAGAATTGTGTTACTTGCGCGTGCATCCCATTGTGGAATTGAATCGCAACACCTGCCATGTAGACACCCGCATTCAGCATGCGTGCAGCAATTTGGTTGGCTTACACGACATGTTCTTCATGCAGAATTGATGTCATGCTGTAATGTAACCTTGGAAAGATTGACAATTGCTGCTTTGCACGTTTGTGTTCTTGTATTTAATTGAACACTGTGCCCTCAATTAAGACGTCCGTTTGGTTTGGCGATGCTCTGAAAAGCTACCGCGTATGCATTACAATGATTAAAATGCGAAATTATGTTTGGCATAGAAAAATGTATATATGTGTTACGAAAAAAACCTAATTAAAATCATCTTCTGTCTCGACACTACAGGGGCTTAGCAATCGAGCGCAATGGGGATTGCAATGCTGCTCGGAGACTTCCGTCACCGATGCTGCCCCAGGGCGGTCTCGTGGTCAGATCACTGGACTTGCAATCCAGAGGCCGCCGGTTAGATTCTAACTCCCGGCGGGGCAGTTTAAAACAACGATGCGAGTTTACATGGGTATGCACGCAGTTAGTCTATCGGCAGGTCGCGTGTGGCGGGATAGAATGCGGGTACTCCCACCTCTTCCGTGGCTTCTGACTAGCGTGAAAGAGTAGGCCAAAATACCCTCTAGACGGGTCGTCTAGCCCTGCCTGCAAGTGGGAGGCACCTTCCGCTGGCAGTTGCGCGAGCCACCAATTGCAGGGGATGCGCCTTTACCCGTTAACTTTCCATGCCGGGGATTGAGCAAGCAGGAAATATCTTTGCCACAAGAAGCCAAATTTTACTTTCAAATCGGACATCTGGAAAGTGTCACACAAATAGGCGGCAGACGGGTGAGCACATTTGACCTGTCGTGCCATCCAGATTCCTGCCGAAATCCCACGTCGCTTGTCGAAATTGCCGCAGGTGTTAGATTTGCGTGGAGGGTTTTCTTTCAGGAGGATTGAACCGATTTATGTCGCGTCTCTTCCCGTTCACGTCAGATGCTCTGTCGCATTACCGCTGACCCGCTTGTGTACGTTTCGTTTACGGAGAATGTATATAATCATTTACGGCGGGCGTGCATGTGTTTTGGCTAACCGCTTTACCGGGCGCTACAAACGCGCCGATCCGAATTCCATGCCCGCCCAACGGGCCAACCTCTACGGTGAACGTCTCAACCAGTCCCGGGCGAGCTTCAGGTTGACTCGACCCTAAAAAATGAGTACCTGGTTTGGTGTGGGGAAAAGAAACCGCCCCCCAAACTGAGCAGATGAAGGTGGCCGGGCATGAGCACACTTGCTATGTGCTGTGCCAACCTTCGTAGGGGTGCTCGCTGACAGCACTCACTGCCCCTACAGCTTGTGTGGGGGCTACGTGGGGGGAGGCGGGGGGGGGGGGGCACTTGGTCTCTTTTTTGCGTGTGACAAACATCCCACTATTGAGCGACCGGTGCCATTTCATTTTTTTGCGCGACATTTTCCGTTCGCGCCTCCGTTTTCAAAGGCCAGGGGGGCACCCATTTTTGCGTCACCTCGCACAATGTCCCCAAGCGGTGACCATGGTAAGCAGCCAGGACAGTCGAGCGGCATCGTCACGCCCGGATTGAACGCCCGTAGAAGCGCGGGACGGCGGCACGCCGTTCCAAGAATTAATGGACAGCATTAAACGATGGGTCCCGAACGTTGAACAAGCGCTGTGCGCAGCGCAAGAAGCCGCTTGCGATCGTTGCAGCGTGAATTGGCCCCTCTTCGTTGCTCCAAAACGGCAGCGTGGCACCGTCTTGGAATGTTACCTTGTTAGCGCTAACATCCTGCAATGTCGATCCCACTCACTGGCACGCGGGTTCCAATGTCTAAAAGCGTGCAATGCAATGTGCTCGCTTGGGTGTGTGCGCGAGTGTGCGTGCGTGCGTGCGTGTGCGCAGGGAGGTTTTAATAAACTAAACCTTTTTCTTTCTCCTTCCCCCTACTCTTTAAATGTGCAGTGTATTGGAGCAGCACAAGCTATCAAATGCCCAGTGGGAGGAGAGGATACAAGCGTGGCATTCGGAGCACAATGGGATGTTGCGGTAAGAGAATCGTTCCGCTGCGCGCACGTCGGGGACCGTGGTGGAAAGCTGCGGCTTCGGGGTTTGCGCCCCAGCTCCAAATTGAATTCCCGCTCACCGTCAACACCGGTGGCGAACATCTGAGGCCTCGCCTTGGCCTCCCCTATGCGGATTCGGCCTCTCCAATAAGTACTTGGCGCGCTTTATAAACGCTAGCACTGGGGAGACGAAGGTGGCCGGGCATGGTGATGGCCGCACAATATATCCATTTGCTGAGCTGGTCTTAATCGATGCTTCATAATAAAGGTTTTTGGGTTAGATCGCGTTATTTATAAATGTGTCGCAACCCTCCACCACCCGACACGGCCAATCAGTAAAAAATGTGTCACGTTAACAAAACGTCAATTCGGTGCTTATTTACCACATTGTAATTACAGTTCTTTGTCAGTCTACTGCTGGATGAAGGCCTCGTCCATACCGTGTAGGGCCATGCCATGTAGACCATGACGGTTGTTTGACGACACTTCGATGCACCATGAACCCCGGTGACCCTGAGTTCGATTCCCGGCCACAAGCTAAAATCCAGCGGTGAGTGACATCTGGACTGATCCTCGACACCTGCCCTCAAACAATCCACGCTACCCAGCGTGGTGAAGTATGGTCGAGCGGCTCTCATAGCCACATTACATTCATCCACCCATCCATCGGCGAATTGTGACAATGGGCTCTAAGCTCGGAAGCTGTTATTGGCGGCATTTGCCCAAGTGTCTCTACGGCTGCACGGGGAGGAGGAGGGGACGTGTGTGAATCGTGGTCTTCCGCGTAACGCCTGGTACACAGGGTTGGATTGCTGTCTGTGCCTGGTGGTGTAGTGGACACCCGGGTGCTTCTGTCCTACCGGTTATTGCAAACGCACCCTTTGCTCTGCATGAAAGCGACTTCTGTTTAACGGCATAGAGGGGACGGACGCTTGGGATGACGCGGAAGAGACGAGAGGTAAAAGAGGGCATTACGCTGGAGAAAAACAAACACAAACCGCATTCGTGAAAAGCAAGTCGTCATGGACAGGAGCTGTCGTTGGAAACGGGAATGTCCCGTGGAGCGTGACCAGCAGCGGCCGCTACGAGGGGTGACGTGCACGATCCAAACGTACGGACACAGAATTGCGCGTATCCGTTAATAATGTTTTCATAATTCTTGGTTCTTTCGGTAAAGCCACGTTGAAGGGAAACAATAAAATAATAAAATATATATAACAATAAAATTCTCACGACTGTTTTGACTGTAACACAAACAGTCATCATCAGGTGTTTCCCTTCAACGTGACTTTACCGAAAGAACCAAGACTATGAATCCCTGCAGTCCCGAAAGCTTTAAATCAAAATTTAATGTTTTCATAATTCGTGTTCTTGATGGAGAGCCTCGAAGCGCTTTACACGGACACGCGATGGGCGACTTGCATCACATCTCATCTCAACACATTTGATTGGGCACCCCCAGTGGCAGATGTCCCTGTGTGGCACAAGGTGACGCGGCACCTTGCCCTGCAAGCGTTCGTTCGTTAGTCTGCCAGTCGGGGGCGATGATTGCTATGTGGTTTAGCCTAGGGGCACCCCCAGTGGCAGCTGTCCCTAAGGCACAAGGTGACGCCACACCTGGCCTGCAAGCGGGCCGGTAAGGGGCCGATGATTGCTGTTATGTTTAATCCCAATTGATTATATTTGTTCTGTCAAACATGAGCAGATGAATGAACGTAAAATACCGTGCAATGTGGCTGGAAATATAAATATGCATGACAACAAGATGGGGGGGGGGGAGTTGGAGGTGGTCCTTCTAAGCCTTTTATTTAAACGAGCAAGACGACATCTGAGACAGAGCAAGGAGATCGTAGTCATCGTCCGTCCCAGGAGATGCGCCGGCTTCGTTCGTGGCCTGGGCTCGGAGGGACGGCCCTGCGTGTTCACGGCGGCGGCTGCCGTACCAATCCCTGACGTGGGGAACGGCGTTGGTGAGGCGCCTCGCTCGGCTCCTTCGATGTGCGGGAGCCACGCGCTTCACCCCGGGTCAACCGCCAAACCAGTTGTGAGGTCACGTGGTCAACGCAGAAACGGGATGCGCGCCTTCCAATGACGCCGCTTAGTCAGACGTGCGTGGGATTGCGTGAGTGCTCAAATTATATTTTTTATTTTATTTTCATACACCATGGGGAATTTGCTCAAATAATAGTGAAGTAGCCCGACCTAATCAAATGCACGGTCGTGCCGTCAACACGTTGACATTCAAAGCTGCATGGAAACCTTACTCAAGACGATATTCTCACTGCTCTATATCTCCAGTCTTGCTCCGCCGTACCACTTTCCCGCAAGGCTCATCTCTCTAGCTTCAAGCGTTGACCGCTGTAGTACGACGGCGATGCGGTTTGATAATTTAAAAAGTGAGATTATGGAGGGTGACTGTGGTGGTGGCGACGGGGTCAGAGCGCTGAGCCGGCACGGCTGAGAATCGAATCCCGGGTGTGTGTGGGGAGCTTTCAGCAGCTCCTAATTCACACTGGGCTCTCAAGTGCAAGCTCCCGGGCCAGTCACACCAACGGCTTGCACAATAAAAACCATCAATGCATTTGCTTTTGCACTTTAATACCTTGAAATATAAAAAAAACTAATTTGGTTTCAATGTTGTACAAAAAAAAGCAATCTCTTAACGGGGCCGTATGGAGGAGCTGCAACCCCAACTGTGTGAGGGATGAAGGTGCCGCTCCAAGGAATTTCTTTTTTAGGCGAAGTCCCGTGAAAAATGCCTTTCACGGCCGTTCTCTGATGTATGGTTTTCAAGTTGGTAATAAGGTACAGAGATGAGGATACAGCGCTTCCCATTAGCACGGTGGGCTACGTACGGTGCGAAAGAAGTCCCACGTGCAGGTGGCAGCAGTCTCAATTTGCGAGAGCGACGATGAGACGTTAGTGTGCCGGTAGGGGGCGATGTTTCCTGCTGCGTGTTAGCGCGTTGGTCCCCCCCCATCGAGTGATTTGCGGTGCGACTTTCGGATGGAGCAACTTTGGAACCCTGACGCCCGCCACACGATTGCCTACTCCTGCCATGGCGTCGGTGGCTCTTTAGAGTCCGCCGTGAAGCAGACGGTATGCGGAGTGGTCGCAGGATCTTTATGGCTATTGCACGCACAGCGGTGTGCATCGGGGTGACCGAAACGCGCTACTACTGAGCCACTCCCCCGCCAATCGCTCTGCGAGATTCCGAATGGGTTTCTTCCATCTTACGACGCAACGCCCATCGTAGGATAATAGCACGTTGGCAAATAAACCATCGTAACGTATCCATACGAAGTTAAAAGGCACTTTGTGTCATTTATCTCGTGACGAGAATTGTCCGCAACGACGCGCAATGATCGTTTTTTTTGTAACAAAGGGAGGTTGTGCATCTCATCTGAAACGCATCTGAAGGTGCACACGTACGTGCAGAATGCACGCACGCTCTCAGATGTACAGTCACACACGAATATACGAGAGACGGTGTGGTTTGGCGGGAAGCTGAGCACAAGCACTTTGGCCCTGAATAAAATAGAAACACAACCACTCCTTGGTATTTTTAAAGGTAGTGAACTTTTCATTAGGACCGTGCACAGAACATTAGTCAAGGGGGCACTGGAGTGAAATGGTTAACGCGTTGCGGTGTCCATCTGTGTTTTGGGTTGATGTTCCATTACATGACTTGTCTGGTTTTTATGCGGAGGCGGTCTTCAATAGATAATTTATGACACCGGTGTGCGTTCATCCCCTAGGTGTTAAAGTTTGCGTGTGTGTGTGTGTCTGGTTTGCGTGTGTGTGTCTGGTCATATATGTGTGTCTGGTCATATATGTGTGTGTGTGTCTGGTTTGCGTGTGTGTGTCTGGTCATATATGTGTGTGTGTGTGTGTCTGGTTTGCGTGTGTGTGTGTGTGTCTGGTTTGCATGTGTGTGTGTCTGGTCAAATATGTGTGTGCTGTATATATTTGTGGGGAGCGGGGGGGGGCAGCGGTTGGCCAAATGCGCTCCGAATCCATCAACTCCAAGTTTAATTCCCAGTCACGGATGTCACCAGTCAGGAGTGATGTTAAGAGTAATTCTGGACAATTCTCTTAACAAAATAAAAAAAACGATCGGACAACGTGAATCCTTCACATCTTTTTTACATAAATGCCACCTTCCCATATATGATTCCTGCACGTACCATATTTTGAAAGTATTTTTTAACACATCTCATCAGCCACACACACACGGCTGTCCCCGAGGAGATAGCTTCCGCAACAACACGAGCAAAACCTGGACCGTCTTCAACGTTCATTGCTTCACCAGCAAAGCCAGACCATCGCTACGTTGAATTGGCCTTACATGTTCGCCTGGCGCTGCATTAGCACGTAAGCACTGGGGATGCGACAACGGTGGCTGGGTGCGTTGGCGTGAACAACAACCACCCTTGGCCGTAAGAGGTGTTCGTTTTAGCGGTATTTATTTATTTCCCCCCACCGGTTTGTTAAAGACGACACTTGTGGGTGGACTTTGTCTTGTTTTTGTTCGTGTGAACCGCGCATTTGCGAGACAAGTGCCAACGCAAAATGCATTGCTATAATCCATGTGAATATAATTAAGGTGGTTATTATTATTCGGATTGTTAACACTTGATGCCAAAGACGGGTTGAACTGGAGCCAAGAAATGCTGCTGCTGCTGCCTGCACTTTTGTATTGCTCCTCCCTGTTTTGATAACCGTTGGGGAGCCTTGGCATAAGTGGTTATTGCACTGTGCCTTATGAAATACAGCTACCTGAGTTAGATTGCCAGCCATGGCTAACATCGGTGCGTTTCTCAAGCAAATTCAGGGCCCGCTATTTCACGAACTCTCAATGACCGGCATGGTGGAGTATGATCAAACAACCCCCCTTTGACTGACACAGTCTGGGGAAGGCATTCGTCCAGCAGTAGATTGATATAGGGCTGTGAAATGTGAATTATGATATCGCCCTCTCTGTATCAACCGAAACTAAATGCGCAGATCCTCACGACCATGACCTAAAGTTGGCGGCTAGGTGTTCTAATTTTCAATGCGAGGCATAACAAAGTAAAGGAACAGTTTTTTTTTTGCTGCGAGCGTCGTCCCAATTAACGGCTGAAGCTTTAATCTTAGCGTGGTTTCATTTCACTTGTGTTGTGGGCATGTTTTCCAGAACCGCATCACCCGCTCAACAAATCAAATACGTATTTTTTTCCATCCAATCGCCATTATTTGCCGTTTAGCAAATGCATTACGTTAGATCATTGGCAAATACTTCAAAGCTCTAACCGATACGCATTAAAAAAATGCCACTTTAATAAAATGGGGATGGATAAGTACAAATATAACTGCACGGGGATTAAATTAAATCCATTACCGTTGCGCAGAGATGAGAGCCGTGGGTTTGTGCTGTTAAAACCTCACCCTTTGCAATAAGATACTTTATATTAAACGCCCTATCTGATTCTCCCAGCAGACATGCAAATGCCCCATTATGCGGGAAGCCACCGGTGATGTCGACGCTCCCTTGTAGTGTATTTTATTTGGTTTTCAAATGAGGGCATTACCACATCTCATCAGCCGGGGAGAGAGCGAGAGGGCTAGCGTGAAGAATGCACGGAATACATTTTCTTATTTCACCCCCCCCGCCGCCCACTGCCTTACCCCACCATCCTGGCATTGTAGCGCATGCTTCCAATTCGGTGCTTGGGAATTGATGGTGGTGGTGGGGGGGGGGGTTGATGGATCACACAGGAATCGTTTTGTGTTTGAGACGCCCCACTCTGCTGGGCCTAACGATGGTGCTCAGAGTGTTTGGCTGCTATAAAATATCCACTGCGATGAGCCGCTTTGTCGAGCTATCATTTGTGGCGAGGTCACTTCTGAGGAAGAGCCACCTAGCTCAGTGGGCCTTAACCTGGTCAGGTCATAAATAGCGCCGCGGAGATGGCAGCGCCAATAGCATTGTAAGCGCCGGCTCTTCGCCTGCTCGAGTCTCACTCCACTTGATTCCGGTTTCCTCCGCCGTGCAAGTTACTCGCTAAGTGGGCGATCACACGACCGGTCTGTTGCAGAGGTTTGTGGTTGAAGCTCAGCGGCGGCCCTGGTTAATGCTGCGGGTGCATTAACCGGCAAACACCACGCGCTGTCTGCTTCACAGCGGACACGTTGGGGACCATCCCGTGACGTTATTTGAAAGAAAAAAAACAAGATCAAGCCATGTGTTCCCAGCGTCACTTTCTGACTTTATCAAGTTCGAAAATGGAGCACGCAAATGACCCAATTGGGTAAAGCCGTATAGCAACGCCATCATAGTTGATGATGACGACCTGATGATGTTTGTGTGTTATTGTTGTGTTTTTCACTCGCGCTTGTATTTGAGGAGTGAGACAGAGGATATAATCACACAAACAAATATTCCTTGTATATATTTAGACCAAAGGTCAGGACACATACGTTTAAGTAATGTAAGTTAACACAGGCACTAAAACATTTAAATTGTTAATTTAAGCAAAAAAACATGTCTAATATAATTAATATCTAAATTTATTTTTCGTTTCAAAATCACATTTGAAAATGGAAAGAAAATAACTCTAGACGAACGAGTTAAATTAGTTTTTTTTAAAATCCTAACTTCATTGCAGAAAGTTAATTCATGTTTGCGTGAATGTTAATGGAAAGTCAGTTTAAACATTTGTTAAAATAAATGAAAAACCCTGTTTGATTTGTTACAATAAACATAAGAACTCCTGCACAATAACCCTATGTGTCCTGACTTTCGGGCCACGCTGTACAAGCGCCCGATATGAGGCTGGCACGGCACGCGAGAGCGTGGCAAGCGCCGCGCCTCCGGTGCATCCCGTGATGGCGTAGCGAAACACTGGGTCGTCCTCACGGTGTCTTGCAGGGAGGACGCCATCATGGAGTACATGAAGATTGCTCAGGACCTGGAGATGTACGGGGTCAACTACTTTGACATCAAGAACAAGAAGGGGACCGACCTTCAGCTGGGCGTGGACGCGCTCGGCCTCAACATCTACGAGAAGAACGACAAGTGAGACCCCCGCGTTCCTCCCGCTTGCTAAAGTGGACAGTTTTGTTCGGCCCGTTGGCGATCCACCGCAGCCGTTACGGGGAACTCCCGCGTGCCGGGCCGATTAATTAATGATCGTGTTATAACAATTATAAAGTCGGTTTTCTGCAGCGTAATTCGTGCAAAGGCCTTCAAAGTGCTTGACATGAAACTTAAGGTTACGGAAAAAAAGCCTGTTGTGAAAACAGGTGAGATTTAAGATAACGACACATTTATACTTACGCGATTGAAACCGAGTAAAAACCCCTGTGTTATGGATTTACGACGCGGTTTAAAAAACGTAACAGGCTCGGGTTCCCTCGTGTACTGAGGAGGAAGGGAATGCCACATCCGTGGGGCCTGGCTTCACTTCTTCAGCTGGGTCTGTCCGGGTCTCCGAACGCAGAAAGCTACTTCTACACCCGGCACACCACACCCAGGATACCCGTAGCTACGACTGTGGCTACCAAATCGTGTGCCCACTCCAGTCTACCGCCGTGCCAGACAATGTCCGGCGAGCAATGAACGCCCCGGTGGTATTCACAGCTGCAATCAGCTGCCAGCGATATGAGAGGCAATGACAGAGCAAGTGGTTAGTGCACCGCGCTGTCAGCTGTCTCAAGTTCGATCCCCAGCCATGGCTAAAACAGTGACGAGAGTGACCATGTGAAATGGGTTCTGGCACGCCCCGCTCACCAGACCCGTCACCGCCCCCTTCGCCACAACCCGCACGACACCAGAGCAGTGAAGCATTGGTCGAAACGACCCTCTGGAGTGCACCCAGAGATAATACCCTCGGTGTGATCTCTCCACACACGACTGCCCCCGCGGCTCCGTTCCGTCCATTCACAAGGCATCCGGTCCGGGCTTTGCGCTGAGCTGGCACGCTTGTCGGTGTGTGCAGGTTGATTGTCGTAAAAATTCACGAGCGGAGAGAGAGCGCTAATTAGGGGCGCGTGAAAATGACAATCATCGGTGCGCGCGTGCAGTATTCACCATGGGCTGCTCGGTATTCAGCGTGACCTGTTGGGATATAGTGTGCGCAACATGAATAGGCATATATTTTGTATTTAACATGTTCTATGTTTATTGGCACACCGAATTATTAAATAATTTGCAACCAGACAGTAGTTTGAGCTAGGACGATGGAAGTGCAGTGCGCACGCACCTGGTCAGCGGTGCGGCTATCGGGTGCGAAGGCGGTGCAACTGCACCGGAGTGCACTGTCTGGAGGTGCCCCCACGTGGAAGGGATACAAATAGTGGGACGGGGATGGAGGAGGTGGGAGTGGCCCCCGGTTTGGTGGTGCGGGAGGGCATTTAATTCCCCGTACCAGGGCCCTCCACCAACCGTGCCGTGCCAGTGCCACTGGGCAGCGCGAAGGATTTATCGCGCGAGGTTCATTCCTCTAACCCAGGGGTCGGGAACCTTTTTGGCTGAGAGAGCCATGAAAGCCACATATTTTAAAATAAATTTCCGTGAGAGCCATATAATATTTTTTTAAACACTGAATACAACTAAAGAAATGTCAGCTAAGATTTATTTGCGAGCCAGATGCAGTCATCAAAAGAGCCACATCTGGCTCGCGAGCCATAGGTTGCCGACCCCTGCTCTAACCCCTCCGGCGTGTCCGCCGGCGCGTTGGCGACGCGCTTCGAGACCGGAAGAGGGTCCCTCGCGTTCGTCAGCAACTGCGACTGCGGCTGCTTCCCCAACGCCCAGCAGTTGCTTCCAGTGCTTCTGCTGCACGCTGTTGAAGATCGCTGACGTTGTTTGCGGTTAACACAAACGTTTCGCGTGTACAAGGGAAATGTTTGCCGAAGTTTGAAGTTGCTCAGTTCAAACTCGCTGTCGAATTGTAGTTTGTTCAATATTGGACGATACCTTTTTACGGACAACCCTGGACTATATATCGGGGTGCCACAGTAGTCAGATGTTAACTACCTCGCCTGGTAGGATCGATCCTAACCCTGACGCCTGTATATTTGGGGTGTGCGTGTTCTCCCTGTGGTCACGTGGATTTTTTCGCCGGGTCCTCCAGTTTTTCCCTCCACTTTTGGTATCAACATCACGCACTCAGAGTATTTGGCTGCTATAGATTCCCACGTGATAAGCCACCTCGTTGACCTCTCATTTGTGGCCAGGTCGCTTCTGAAAACGAACTACATAGCTCAGTGGGCCTTACCTGGTAAAAATTAGTAGATATATTTGTGTGCGTCTTCTTTAGTTCCCGTCCGGCTTTGTTTCGAGACACCGGGGCCCGACTGAGATCCTCTCCACCTCTGCCCATCCTGTGCCAGCTGCGCGGATTCCTTGGAGCTAATTTTCTTCAAACTCAAGACGCACGTTGTGTGCTGGGACCCACGTGACTTTTTTTCATAGCGTTGTTTCAAGAAGCTTATTGTTATTTCTGCGCAAATATAAAACTTTTGATATGTTGCCTCCCTATGAAGTTCACATTTCTAATAACGTTCACATTTCCAGCAAGCGGTGTATGTTGCAGAGTGACACGTTGTTATTTGAGCAAGGTCTTCCGACTGCAGAGGGTGATTGCTCCTTATTACTGGTAAGCCTCAGCTTTATCCGATCTTACACACAGGCTGACTCCCAAGATCGGCTTTCCGTGGAGCGAGATCCGAAACATCTCCTTCACGGATAAGAAGTTCTGCATCAGACCCATCGACAAGAAGGCTCCGGTGAGTTTCCCTCTCAAGCCTCCTGATCTGCCACTTACACGGCTTGTTGACTTGACAGATTTAATGACTAAGTCAATTCTGTGTGTATATATATTTGCAGGGAGAGGTGGTAAAGTGGTTAGAGCACTGCGCTATGAACCCGGCGACCTGAGTTCGATTACTGCTCATGGCCAACATTGGTGACAGTTATCGATTATCTGAACCAGTCCTGGGCCTCTCCTAGGTTGATTCAGCCTAAAATGAGTACCTGGTATGATGTGTAAACATCGCCACAAAAGACGGCCGGGCGTGGTGTTGACCACCCATCCCCTCGTGTGCCGTGCCGGCCTTCATAAGTGCTCGCTAACAGCACTTGCCCCAACAGTCTGTTAAAGCTATACTGGGGGATTGTTTTATTTATATATGTAAAGTCATATATTTACTGAAGTGGGAAGAGCCAGCCAGGTGACTCGGCGATAGAGCGAGCAGCAAATTACGATCGTAAGGTTGCGAGTTCAAATCCTAGTTGGGGGTTGGCTCGGCCCATAATTCCTCTGGGGTCGATACAATGAGTACCTGTACCACTTGTTCGGGAAAGTCGAACAGCGGTTGTTCTGTGGAGAGACTCCATCCACACTTTGGGAATGTGGAATTTCCACCGCCGTGTTTAGGGCTGTAGACAGGCAATGAGTACCATCACCTTGATGCTCATTTGAGGAAGAAAATCTCACAGCAGGCTCTCTTCATTTCAAGACCATTTTCATTCTAATCAATATAAAACCATTCACCCTAAATCTACCTATTCGCTTCTGGTCTCAGAAGCTAAGCAGCACAAGTGTCTGGTTTGTAGGCGAATGAGCGGTTACTTGGGAGTTCTGGATTCTTGAATCTATCCGTGTGGAGCTTTGGTGGGTTTTCTCTGCTTTCCCAGTTTTCCTCCCACATGGCACCAAACTCTCAATCCTGGCATTGAGCAAACACCTTGTTTCAGGACCCTACTGAAAAGTTTGAGACTGAGTGAGGCTTTTATGGATAAATATGTGGCACAATTACCATTATTATTTTTTTGCCCATTGTTGTAATTAGTAATTAGTAATTCCTACAATGTCACTTTGAGAGTGCTGCCCTTCGTCTCATTCGAGCAGGGAGACTTTTTTATTTTAATTGGGCAATTGCTCAAATTTTAAAATAGCCCATTAAAAGCTCGTGCAAATGGCACCAAATTAAACGGATAAAAGTCGCCACGGGTTTGCAAATATAATTTTACTGAAGCATTTGGCGACGTAGCATTGTAGATATTATCAGCAAGTGGAGATTGAGAGGAACGGAGGCAAGTGTAGGAAGGAGGAGGGCAGATTATTGAGACAGCCATTAGAGTGACACTCGGGGAGGGGTTTGAGCAAAGGGAAGACACAAAGCTGGATGGTTAGATACTGTGAGAACGGACCATGAAGGTTCGGGTAAAATCTACTAAAACTATTTTTTATTTTACCAGGTAAGGCCCACTGAGCTATATAGCTCTTTTTCCAAAGCGACTGGGCCACAAATGATTGCCCAATGAACTGGGCCTATCACTTAGAAATGCATAGCGGCCTGGTAAAAATAAAAATAGTTTATAGTTTTTTAAATAAATGTTTTTAAATATTGGCTCGTCACAACTGACCCCTAATTGACGAAACAGTTGCGAGCACATTGAGACCCAAACCAAGGACGGACGCACTTTGAAGATGGTTGCATCAGCCCGTGCGCGCAGCAAGGCCGTAATTATAATATATATTGGGGGGGACACATCCCCCTCAATATATTGCTATAAAATAGATTTCTGTTTATATGATTGTGGTTATGGTTGTACTTTATAAATCCCTAATCTCTGCCATTACATACAATGAAACAAGAAAAGGTAAAACAGAAAAAAAATGTCAAACAATACACTTTTAGACATTATTGTAAAAAAATATATATAAAAAGTACATTCTATGTGTTAGTGAATTTTTCAATATTTTAGGCAGGAAATGGCAGGACATGAGTTTTCAAATTTAGATATATTTTTTTCTGGGGGGGGGGGACCCCCAGACCCCCTGGAAGATTTGGTCCCCCACAATGTTGACTCCACGGCTACGGCCTTGGCGCACAGCGTCGGTGATTCTCGTGGTGTACTGACCGTGGCCCCCCCCCCTCCCCCCCCATCACTCCGCGCAGGACTTTGTGTTCTACTCGCCGCGGCTGCAGACCAACAAGCGCATCCTGGCGCTGTGCATGGGCAACCACGAGCTGTACATGCGGCGGCGGCAGCCCGACTCCATCGAGGTGCAGCAGATGAGGGCGCAGGCCAAGGAGGAGAAGCATGTCAAGCTGCAGGAGAGGTTCGTGCGCCCCGCGCAATAGAAACTCGGTCCGCCGTGTTTCCTCCACGGAATTTTGTAAGGCCACTCGGTGAAGAGGTCGGGTATACCGCCGGCGTCAATAAAGTTGTGCAAATCTGGTCGCTCGCGCGCACGGACACACGCGCGTGTCCGCGCACCCGCGCGCCTACCGGATTATGAAGTGCATCCCCAAGTTTTGCTTTGAAACACAGGAGGAGGGGGGGGAGGAGTGCATCATAATCCAGAGAATGTGGTGGATGATGGAGGGGGGAGGAGGGGGGGGGAGCAGGGTTGACGAAAGAGGGGAAAGGTTCCATTGGCGAAGGTTCACCCCCTCCATAGGACCGGCTGCCCTTCAGAATTCATGATAAGAAACTTCATTTGTCAGCGAGTCGGTCTGTTAGTCAAGCGCTGCTTCAGTAATTTTCATAGCACAGCAAGGGCTCTTTTTCTATAATTAGGAGTAATCGTGGACTCACGGTATTTGATGATCATCATGATGACGATTAAAAATCTGACTTTATACCTAGATCACAAAAACCTTGGCAATACAATTTCACCGTCTTGAGCTTTTCCGGTTTAAACCGTTTCTAGATTCTCCTGATTTTTTAGTTGAGAGTTGGGAATAATTTTGTCAAATTAAGACAATGTAGGGCACACGATTATTGGAGGAGGAACTAAACTATAAGATTGTAGAGGACTGAAGGCCTTTAAATGTTTGGGGACAAATATATTGAACTTTGCTGTTTGTTTTTTGAACCAAGGGGTTATAACTTTTTTACTCGGTGATTTCTGGGTTGCCCAATCCAAAAATTCCGGCGTCATCACACTTTTAAGACTCCAGTTTTTCAGGCCCCCGTTGTAAGAGTGTGACATCGAAGCCGATGGAAAGCGGGCGAAGCCCACCGCTCGTTAGGAGCATGAACGCACAACAGGACGTGAACTTTGGAATGACACCGAGAGGTTGTGACCACGTCCATGCGATCAGCGTGCCCCCTGTCTGCAGAACTAATGTCTCTAGCAAGCAATACATCAACTTTACTTTTAGCCATAACCTGCTGCCTGTTTTTTTAACCTTGGCCTATTTAAATACGTTGTTACTTTAATTATTAACGATCTGGTTTTTTTTTACACTGAAGGTTAAGTGTAACTTTTAATTGGGGTGATAAGGCATCATGTCAGCTAGCGTACTTGGCAGATTTGGAAAGGTGCATCTATGGGTCCTTTTTTTGCCAGAATCACAACAATGAAAGAATATAAGAAGAGGATTTAACCTTTCTGGCAATAATACAGAAGGTGTTCAAACGCCGAATAGAAACCTTTTTTCAACGCATCGAGTCTGCATTTAACCACACATACTTGTGGCAAAAAAAACATGCAGACAAACATGCTCTGATAATTTTCTACGCATTGTCCTTGAAACCGATAAGCCTACATCTCGTAACGTCTCTCTCCGTCGTGCCTTCCGAACGTTGCCACGTGTTGTTCGGCACGATGTCCGACGTTTCGCAGCACAGTGCCGAGAGCTTCTCGAAGAAGCTTCCAGCACGTCGTTGTTTTTACACAAACAACGACAACAGCAACAACCAAATAACAACGTCGGAGAGTCGAGCCAATCGGCAGCCTCAACAGCGGCCGTCAATCCGATGTAATCGAGGGATAAAGTCAGCGGCTCATTTCGCTTTCCAAAGGAGCACGTGGAGCGAAGCGTCGGATCTCTCGTGGCGAGCAGCGTGCACGCGTGGTACCGACCTGGAAAGGCATCGGTAGACAGCTGTAGAGCAGCACAACGGCCAAAAACCCATCCCACAAAGGTTGTGTCGTGTAACATCAAATGTAACACGGGGCCGTTATTTGCCTCTAAGTCCATATTCCATCTTTGAAAACAATCGCTCGCGAAACAACAGCACATTAATAGCCGCGTTCAATACTGAGGCTTCCCTTTTTGAGGGGCAATGGGCTTTAATAGCCTCCCAGCCGGGTAAATGAAAGTGCAATTGAATTATAAACTGCTACGTGTTCAGACGAGACAGATGGCCAGGCATATTTTTTTAAAGACTCTAATTCGATTACAACTCTTTGCCTGCTGGTTTAGTGCGAGAGTTCCAGACTCACGATCAGAAGGCGGTGAGTGCGAGTTCAAATGCCAGCCGAGGGTCAGATCAGGCCATCATTCATCGAGGATGATTAAAATGGGTACTGCTTTTAAGGAAGCCAGGAGCTGTTCGAAAACGAGGAGACAGGTTCATAGTCTGAGGTTGCCATGTGGCTCAGAGATGAGGAGCAGCCCAAGCCAATCAAATGCGGGTTCGTAGCACGGTCGTGCCGTCAACACATTGACATTCAAAGCTGCATGGAAACCTTACTCAAGACGATATTCTCACTGCTCTATATCTCCAGTCTTGCTCCGCCGTACCACTTTCCCGCAAGGCTCATCTCTCTAGCCTCAAGCGTTGACCGCTGTAGTACGACGGCGATGCGGTTTGATAATTTAAAAAGTGAGATTATGGAGGGTGACTGTGGTGGGTGGCGACGGGGTCAAAGCGCTGAGCCGGCACGGCTGAGAATCCTTGGGTGTGTGGGGAGCTTGCAGCAGCTCCAGATTTAAACTGGGCTCTCAGGTGTGGAGAGTCAAAGGTCCTCAGACGAGTCGCACTAACGACTGCGAAGGGAAAAAAACCGGGTGTGATTTATTTTTTCACTTGGTATGAATGCTTGCAGAGTGTGCATAGAGAGAGATCAGCGATTGTCACATGACAATCGAGCCGTTATTCTTACGTCTCAGGGTTAGAAGTTCGGCTAAATTGTGCACACACATTTTAACGTGTGTGTTTTCGTGCTGTTAACGGTGACCATTATTTCACTACACTTAAAAACCTGAATTAATAACGGGGCAGTGGAAACCTGGATTCAAACCCAGTTGATTAAATGAATAATTGATTAAAAGTTTCTGTCATGCCCAGCACTGCGTGGAGTTCAATTTGTCTTGAGTTGAAGCGTGTCGATTACCATCCATTAAAAGTGGTTGTCACGTGAGGACTACTGGCTCCGCACTGTATGTCACCTCTCCTAAGCCACCCAACCATGCCATACTCTGTCAGCAATAAGTATTCGCCCGCATCTCCGATTAGCACGTTTGGCGAAGCATGGCGCAAAAGAAGTTCAACATAGAATGTGGTGTCGCTGCGGCTGAGCCCCTCTTGTCATCAGAAGGTCGCCCTTCATCAGTGCGGGAGTTGATGACTCAAGGAATTATCGGTGGTACAGGCTCCGCACTCTGACCACTTGGCCGCTTTGGCCACACCTGACGGCTTCGCACGGATGATGATGATGATGATTATTATTTTACGAGCGGTGGAAATGTGTCGACCCGCATCCTGGCGCTGCAGGGCTTTCCTGGAGAACGAGAAGAAGAAGCGCGAGAATGCCGAGGTGGAGCGGCAGCAGTCGGAGAGGGAGAAGCGGGAACTCATGATTCGCCTGCAGCACGTGGAGGAGCAGACACGCATCGCCCAGAAAGGTGACGGGGGAGCGCTCGTTGACGGGGGGAGCGCTCGACGCGCGGTTGTTGTTGTTGTTGTGTGCACAACAACAACCGCCATTCACCACTAAGTGGTGGTAACGCCAATTATACACGTGATTAACTTGCGTGCACTTTGAGGCCACGTGAAATGTCGAACGCCCGCTGGTGGGAGGTCACGGGGCTGACTGAGATTACCAGCACATGCACACGCGCTCCATACTTATGCCGCACGCGCAAAGACAAAGATCCCCGTGTAGTCCTTAGCAGACTGTTGGGGCAAGCGCTGTTAGCGATCGCCTTTGTCTCCCGAGGTGGCAATGCCTACAACGTCTGCTTCACGGCGCCATTGGCAGGAGTAGGCAATCGTGTGGCGGGCGCCAGGGTTCCAAAGTCGCTCCATCCGAAAGTCGCACCGCAAATCACTCGATGGGGAGGACCAACCCGCGCACACGCAGCAGGAAACATCGCCCCCTACCGGCACACTAACGTCTCATCGTCGCTCTCGCAAATTAAGACTGCTGCCACCTGCACGTGGAACTTCTTTCGCACCGTACGTAGCCCACCGTGCTAATCCGAGGTGCATGGTCCACGAAGAAAAGACCTGGCCACACGAAACTTGCCAGTGCAGGGGGCCCTCCGTGAACCGTGCCACCCGTCTTTGCCCACGTAGAGCTGGACGAACAGATGCAGCGTGCCGCCCGCCTGGAGGAGGAGCGACGCAAGGCCCTGCAGGAGGCGAAGAAGCTGGAGGACCAGAAGAGGGCGGCCGAGGAGGCCAGGGCCAGGCTGGAGCACGAGACTCACAACCAGAGGATGTCTCAGGAGCAGCTGGTGAGACGCGTTCAAGAGGTCGACTAGGCAGGGGCCCAGAGGCACTTTGGGAGTTTGGGGGGGGGGGGGGGGTGTCTGACGTGGATTGTTCCCAGGAGGGATGTGTTCCCGATATTCGGATGAATCAGAAAAATTTCATTGTTTGAAAAACAAAAATCGTAGTTTTGGATTGATCACGAAATGTTACGTGACTTCACAGGAAGTGACATAACTGCCATGATTTCACGCGTGCGCTTTTCCCGCCAAAGTTACCGTCACACGATGTCGCTTTTGCTTAAATGATCAAACTGTAAAATGTGTAGATAAAAAATATATAATTTTAAAAAGAGATTTTGATATTTTAATCAATCATATTTCACATATTTCACAATGAAAGTTAATACAACTTTAATCATTCAAATATAAAAGTGTAACATCTTATCTCTGTATTGGGCCAAGAAAGTCAAACATCCAAGGTCTAAAAAAGTGACATCCAATATACATTCTGAGTTGACGGTGGTTGTTCGTTCCATTACAGATAGGAGTATGGGAAGTTTGCCTCCCACTCTATTACAGATAAGAGAAATTCTACTGAACTATCATTTAATTGATTTGACTCAACTACTGGCTACTGACTCGGTACCGAGTCTGCTCTTTTTGTGCTACGTTTCAAAGGCATGCACAAATAGTCAGGATTTCTGTCGCATTGTTGAAAGCAGAAAAAAAAGGCTCGTAAATATCATTTTTTTTTCAAATTGTGCTGGTGTCCCTTGGCCGCTTGTAAAGATGTTGGGGTTATCTGTGATCCCACGACACCCACGCAGTGACTGTGCTGGTGCTGTTTAGCAACACTGCTCCGCTTAGCCCACCACCGGAACGCTTGTTAGAGAACATCACGGGCGCGGCAGAAACGACGCTCTTCCGTGGAATTAATTAACTTATTCATCGATTTTTGTCGACTGCCTGGTTCGTCGCCTGATTGCATTGAGAGATTTGTTTGATTGATTTCGAGCGACTGTGGATTTGACCGATTGCAAAATCTTTACTCGGGGCAGCTCCGTTAATTTTCACGGAGCCTGGCTAGTGATGAGCGTTTGCATCGTGTTTGGGTGCCTCGGTCCCAAACCGCTACTTAGTTGTTTCAGGTTCTAAGATCCATGGCATAGGCAAGACATTATCGCGAAAAGCGCATCACTCTGCGGTTTGTCATTGTGGAGGGCTGAAGGGCCCATGACCTCTTGGAGTATTGACCTCGTGCCTTCGCCCTCCGAAGTGCCCTCCATAAAGAGGTCACAATCCTGTAGACACGCCTCTGTGCACTTCAATTACTTAAGGATTCCTGAACCAATAAATGCATATTTCTTGATTCGATTAATCCGTTTAGTGGTATGAATAAATAACGGACATCTCGGCGAGCGGCTCGCAATTGGAAGGTTCCGAGTTCAATTCCTGGTTGGGGTTAACTCAACCCATCATCTCTCCTTGGTCAAGAAAATGAGTACCGCTTTGTTGAGAATTCAGCAATGGTTGTCGTATGGACATACTTGACCCTTGTCATAGGAATGTGGTATGAGCACGTCTCAACGCTCATTTGAGCAGGACATCGCTTTTTTAACGTGATAGTTTTTTTGTAGAAGCTTGGACGTGTGTTGTTGTGTGTGTGTCTACAGGTCGTGTTGTTTAATTTATTATTTTTAAGTTATCCCTCGCTGCCATCAGAGATTAATTTAGATTGGAAATCAGTTATTTGGTAAATAAGCCAATTAAATTGTTTAATTGCTAGAAGCAGTTAAAACAGAGATAACAAAACAAGATAAAAGCTCACAATATGGAACACCATATTTATATTTCGATTCTGTTTGTAGACTAAATACAATGTTTAGACTGGGAAATGTTGAGGTGCAAGTAAATTAAGGACCCAAGTAATTTGAACAATTCAATGCAACTGGGAGTATCGAATGCGAAGTAGTTGTTGAGTAAATTTAATGAACAGAGCTAAATGGAAGGCCGCGATCGCCGGCGTCATTGAGAAATGATGTGGCACATGGAGAGAGATTCCTTTTTAAGCAACCACGGCTAATCTACAACTCTGATAATAATCCGTCAGCGGAAGATTGAGCGTTGTCTGTGTGTGTTCATCTGTGAAGCGGGTGTGCGGATTTGAGAGTGGGCACTGGTTGAAATCGAACGGCCTCACAGTAAGTAATGAGTGCGTGCGTGAGTGTTGCGTGCTTTCAAACAGCCTCTTGCCCCCTCTGCAGCCTTGATGGACCGATGGACCTTTTCCCTTTCGTTTGCAGGCAATAGAATTGGCTCAGTACACGCAGCAGATCTCATTGCTCGAACAGGCCAAGCAGAACAAGGAGATGGAGGCCAAGGAGTGGCAACAGCAGGTACACGGCACACACAAACACACACCGAGCCAACAGCCAAGTCCACCCACCACGTTGAAAAACGGTGGTATAATCCGAATCGTATAAACCAGCGCATGTGCGGCAAAGCAGCGTATTGGATTTGGAGTGTACCATTATTTTTGTTTGTTATTGCAGGAGCGACAGGAATTCAATTGCGTCTGTAAATGATCGTTTGATTTGCTGTTATTTGACCCCTCGAGTCACCGCATTGCATTCCAAACTCAGTTCCGTGTTTATTGGCCCACAAGGCTTTGGGCATAAGACAGCCAGCCCCCTTAAGCTTGTGCGATGGATGATGTATAAATGCAGAAATTGTGTTTAGCTATTCAACGATGATGACCACCGAATTTAAATCGGCTATTTAAATCGGCTAACTGTTGGTGAATGGACCCCCTGATTACGCGTGACCTCTAGATGCCAATGAATGGGAAACTCGCCAGATGGGGGAGGGTCTATTAAATGATATATTGGGAATGCGGGCTATATAAATGATTGGTAGTGCTTTTGAATTGTAGCAAATTGTGCAATTCTCGTGTGTGCCTGAACGCCGTCTGTTAGCTAAACACAATTGTTACGTTATGGCTGAGTAGGCCTTAGAATAAGCACATTTGGAAGTTGCACCATTAAAATGAAATAATGTTCCCATCCGAAGCACATTTCATCCTTGTTTTATTCTGGTTGAACAAACTTGTTCAAGGTATTTGATTTGAATGAGTTCTGCTTTGTGGAGGTGACTGGGTGAGAGGTCACAGACACTGAGCTCACATTGGTTGAAATAATAGATTCAACTTCAGTCAACCTGCAATTTGTCAGGCTCCTCAAGTCTGTGGATTGTCTCATACCAGTCACCGATGACTGCAAAACAACATCATCCTTGTTTTTAAAGTTATGGATGTGTGGCTCTGTGATTAGAGTACTTAACTTACAAATAGTTCACATTACATTCCGATACATTCCAGCTCTCAGAATTAAAAACATCAGTTTGACTGTCATGCTATGAACATTCCCCTGTGGCAGGGCGAGCGGGAAAGTGCTGTCCCCTATTGCACGGACCAGAGGCCAATTGAAGGGATCTCAGAAGTAGCTCTGTACTATCCGCTTCCTTCTGCCATTATCTGTCTCATACAAAGGGTTGCACTGATCTGCGAGGTATCCAAATTAATGACTGTCTCACGACACCGATAACACCCTCCCGATGAAACTGCTGGTAAAATAACGCCGTGCGTTTTTGTAACTTTCGTTTCGCTTTGACCATTCGTAGGCCGAGCTTGCTCAGGACAACCTCCAGAAAACCAAGAAGGAGCTTGACGAAGTGATGAGGGCCCCCAAAATGGTGCCGCACAACAACTCGGCTCCCAGCCAGACCCTCATCCTCGTGGGCCAGCCCAACGTCCACTCGCCCGCTCCGCACGAGAAACAGTTCGGCTTCTCAGACCAGGACATGATGTACGAAAACGCCCACGGCCGAAACGGAGGCTACGTGCAGCAGCACCAGCAGGAGCACCAGAATCAAATGCCTGGCCTGCCCAACCCACCGTCGCCCTCCGACCTCTACGGGGGCTACCAGGAGGACGGGGACGAGGGCAGCGCCGAGCTGCCGTCGTACGGCTACGGCTTCAACAACGACCGCAACGAAGAGAGACGCGTCACCGAGATGATGAAGAACGAGCGCGTCAAGTTGCAGCTGCAGGTCGGTACAAAGACAAAGATTCCCTCCTTCCCCCTGTGTAGCCTTCGACGAGCCGTTAAGGGGGCAAGTGGTGTTTGCATGTTGGGCGTCGTGGTGGCGAATTGTTAACTCCCTCGCCTGGTGTACAGGAAGTTGTTGGTTGATCCCCACCCTGACATTTGTATATTTGGAGTTTGCTTGTCTCTCTCCTCGTGGTCAAGTGGATTTTCTCCGGGTCCTCCAGTTTTCCCCTCCACATTGAGAATCAAAGCGCGGTTAGAGTATTTGGCTGCTGCTATCAATGTCCCACGTGATAAGCCACTTCGTTGAGCCATCATTTGTGTCCAGGTCGCTTCCTAAAAAGAGCTGTATAGCTCAACGGGCCTTACCAGAAAAAAGTTAAAAATGGTGAGTTTAAGCTGAACAGAGGTGCCCTGTTGGAGAGACTGGAAATGAGCAGACAAAGTTGGGCTAATGACAGCTTTCCGGTTTGATGGGGAATGATAGCAGAAGAGATGGAGGCAGGCATGCTTCAGTGACTGAAGCATGGTATTTCAATTACCAGCTCCACTTGGTATATACATATATACGTGCTGTAAATGTGTTGAATATGTATTGGCATCTTGCCTTAAGGACGGCAGAGTGTATATTTATGCTTGGAGTGATATTTACGCTCCTCTTCAGCAGTCATGCCGGTAACAGAAAACCGTGTTGAGTAAATATCAGTGATGGCTACATTAAGTTGAATAGAAGCTGAATAAATTATCACAAAATTGACAGGCCTTCCCCACAAGGGCAACCACTTTTTTTTACTTCAATGTGCCCTGGCACAGAGATCTCATAAATTATTTAGTGCTTGCCTGTGTGTGCGAGCGCGCGTGCAAGTGTGGCGCCCTTGACCTGTGTGATTTTATTTTTTTGTTATTCTGTTTGTGCGTGTGTGCGCGTGCGTGCGTGCGTGCGTACGTGGCTGACCTCAGGCACTCAATGACGAGCTGGCCAAGGCACGGGACGAGACGAAAAAGAATCAGATGGACATCCTGCACAGCGAGAACGTGAAGGCGGGCCGCGATAAGTACAAGACGCTCCGGCAGATCCGCCAGGGCAACACGAAGCAGCGCATCGACGAGTTCGAGGCCATGTGACGGGATTTCACGAACACAAAACGATTTCACATCCCACACGAACACCGACGTGGGAACGCGCGCGCATTGCCAACGCGCCATGATGGTGCGAGCACTCAAATTCATTACGCACGCCGGTTGATTCAGACACTCGCATGCACGTCCGCTAAAATGAGACTTGTCCTGGCCTCTTTCCGTTCACACCGGGTGAAACAAAATATAACCTTGGACCAATCGCATTATGTTGGAGTAGCGACGTGACATATGCGGCGGTAGTGATTCTAGGACATACTAAACAGGGGGCACTAACAGGGCTACCAGCTAATACAGTGCTTGCGACGCGGACGCATTTTTATATTATGTACATGCAAATTGTATTGTAATGCAATCTGGGGTAGTGGTGGGGGTAGAGGAGGCACCTATGTACTCAGTGTAAAACTCCTTAAGTGGGGGACGTCTTTAACAGCAGACATTGGTGATGTTGTCAGCTGTGCACCTGCAGCAAGATTGTGAAGGAGGAAGGAAGTGATGGAGACATTTGGTAGTCCTCAGCCACACTGTGACCCCTTGATGACCTTTTTAAATTTTACTTTAGTGCCTTCCCACCCTTCGTGTTAGCACGTTTGCTACTGCTGCAGAGGTTTCAAGGTTCGAATACAGTGGGCTGCCCTGGTTATTACTGAAGGTGTATAAACCATACTACCCATCGTCTGCTTCACAGTGGACTTGTAATTCGCAAGAGGAGGCCATCGTGTACCGGCGTCGTTGTCAAACATTGGCCAATTGTTTATTTTAACCTGCAAATTACTCAATTAGTGACTATCCATAGCAATCATTGCTCTCCCTACTGCGAACAATGTGGCAGTACCCTCTTGAACTATAGTCATGAGACTCGGAGAGGCTTTTCTGGGTTAAACAAGCGTAATAATAATAATACTACTACTATGAATACACCAAGAGGATATCTTTCTGAATTGGGGGGGGGGGGGGGTGGAAAGGTTTAAGTTGGGGGGGGGGGTACTGATGTTCATTTTAGAGAGGAGTCATGTTAGCGCCCCTCCCCATTAGAATCGCCACTCGCGCTTAATACATCACGCAGGTCCCCACGCGCGCTTCCACGAGCAATCGCGCTGTTTCACAATGCGAAACAGTGCGACTGCTTACGCTTTGCTCCCGTCCATGTAATCTGAGCAGTGAATTTATCAGAGTGGGCTAGCAGGGGCATGTGTTTGCGCGTGAACCACGTTGTGTGTGCCTGTGCAAATACCGTTCGGCTGAAGAAGCAAGGTCGAGAATTGTCCGATGCATCAAAGGCATTGCATGCATGCATGCGATATCGCTGTGCCTGCATACACACCACCAATGGCCTTTCAAGTAACCAAAAAAATATGCACATTGTATGCAATTTGTCCTATTTGGTTGTAATATTTATACGTTCGTTTGGGTTTTACGGTGTATAAGAGTTCACATAAATAAACGTGGTTTTTAAATATATAGCTTTTATATATGTTTCTGTTGGTTTAGTAGAATTAAGGGCTTTCAAATGTTTTCATTACCTATTCGGGTCTAGCCATTAATATAAATCCTCCACTAAACGTAAGATAATTATTATATCCAGACTCAGTATAATATATAGCATTGGGTAAATGTGTACATACACAGCCTGCATGTACATTATAAATGTGTCTATGCTTGCCTATATATATGTGAGGAGCAGTCAAAAAGATGTTTTAAAATCAAACCCCTAAAAAACAGTTGCAATTACCTAATGATAAGCTTATGTTAATACTCACGTTTGTATGTTATGGTATAACTTAAGTTAATATTTTTGACTTCCTCGTGTTTACACACACATTTATGTACTGTAACTCCAATAATAATAAAGGGCTCCTCATGCCATGTCGGATAAGGCAGTTGTTTTACCATACTTCACCTTCCTGGACAGCGCAGATTGGGGCAACCCCATAACCTGTTCAGGTATCATCCACCACGTATTAGCTGTGGCCAGGAATCGAACTCGGGTCGCTGGGTTCATAGTGCAGTGGTGCGCTAACCACTGAGCCATCATTCCACCAACATACCCTTTGTGTGCTATTTCCCAGATAATATGCTTCTAATATTTGATGAATTACTTAAAAAAACACATTTAAAATATTTTAAATATTTGCTAACATTTGTGGGAGCTAATGGGTTTAATCAACGATATATTTCTGTTTTTATTGTAAAATTTCATATTTTCCGAGTAACTTGATGATTAAGAACATTTTGATTTAACTATACGATGGTTTTTATGCAAATATATGATACTGTTAAAGTAACATTGATGATGATGTTGGCAATGAGTTGAAAAATATCATAACATGAGATCATCCGAGGTTTCAACGGTCTGAGCACCCCTCTATGAGTCTGACAGGCACAATCCATATTTCATGACTGTCAACTACAGGAATGTTACAATGATGACGTGCCTACTTGCATACGGGGGTGTTTTTAGTATGGCAGTGTCTCCTTAAGAAATAGCAGTGACATTCTTGCCCCTAGCAAGTGTAATGTGATCAGCACACCCTATTGACCAATGCCAAACAGCGCATGTACGATTTTTCCCCAACCTTGTCAAATGGCTGCCAAACACAGTGTAAATGTTTGATGCTTTGATTTGGTTTTTACTACTTTTAATGTGCATTCATTCGTCTATGACATGTACCGTCGTATTTCATCAATAAATGATGGCTTGGCATGCATATAATTACGAGTGGCACTAATGCTTTGTCGTTGCAAAGAGAGGGAGTTTGTTATTTTGCTATTGCTGTGATTTCGCGGCCAGACGGGCTAAAAACAATGCAGACCTCTGGAAGAGGACGTTGCAGAAGGCACGCGTTTGTAGATATGATTAGGCGAGAAGTAATACACTGTGTAGAAAAATATGTGCAGGCTCGAGGAGGGCTGAATATTAAGACAGGTATTTGAGTCGTCTCGTCGAGTGCGGCGACCTCGGAGCAGACGTGTCTATATATATAAAATTATGTATATATATAAAACTCAGTGCGCAAACGTGTTTTTGAATCAAGGTAGAATTAAACCATAACAGTTAAGAATATTGTCTTGAAATTGCACAATTTGCAAATAACTAAATTCTATCTCCCCGGTTTTCCGTGTTAGCATGTATACCAATCTACTAATTATTAATTAGTGCATTACACACTGTTGATTGGCAGGTAATTTTTCTGTTATCAACAACGGTAATTTACGGGGCCTGCCAAAAGATGGGATGGGCAAGGTGTGACATTTGTACCTCGCACAAAAGGGGACGTCACAATGGGCCTGGTGTGGCTCTCTTCCCTGGGCCTCCACTAACCTGTGGACAGCCCTGGTCGTTTCTCAATTACCTTCATGAGTGTGTGGATTACACAAGCAGGCCTGTGACATTACATCTAATGAGTGTGTGTGTGTGCGTGCTGTGAATGCGGTGGTTCGTGCCCAATGTTACCCCCAGACGCGTGTTACTTTTGGCAAGTTTACAAATGCACATGAGGATTTAATTTAATCTTGACCCACAGCAAGAAAAATAAGAAGTGCACCGCACCATATGTCTATGCGTTGGCTTTAAGCTTCATGCGTTCAAGTTCGCTTGCCCCTTCGGGGCCGTCCATAAATGACGTCACGCGATTTTGGACGATTTTTTACCCCCCCTCCCCCTACGTCACACGGCGTCACAAAAAGTCAGACCCCCCCTCAAATATGACGTCACAAAGCTCTGCCCCCCCCCCCAAATAAAAAAACGCTTCAAATCGCTTTAAACTTTTGTCATTGTAGTGCGTATTTAATATGGCGTTGCACTCTGATGTTGTAGGAGAAAACATTAAAAAGTATATTTAATTAAGTAGAACGTGTTGTCTGTATTTATTTAAAGTTGCGCATTTTATGTGACGTCACATTTCTCAAATTCCCCCCCCCCTCGTCACACATCGTCACAAATGTCTGACCCCCCCCCCCCCCTCTAGGTGCGTGACGTCATTTATGGACGGCCCCTTCAACATTCTCCTCCCGAAACTGGACTGCTCTGTTGTTGAATTTTAAGGCCGAAGCTGTCCCGTTATTCCCTTTTTGGGTGCGTGTGTGGAAGACACAAGGCAATAACCTTAACCACTATCAGCTGGAGTGCACCACGGATCCAACGATATTGGCCATTGCTCTTGTTTTGAGAGATATTCACCATAAAGAGAAAGAGGCTATTAGATTTTTTTGCAACTCACCACCCGCCCCCCCCCCCCCATCAAATATTGATTTCCCCCGTACAGTAGGAGGTGGAGCAAATTATTATTTGTGTGCGCGCACCTCCCATAAACTGGATTAGCAGAAAATATACTATAACTGACTTGCATACATGATGGGGCACCCTTTGTTATGTATGCATGTTGAACTTCTTTCGCACCGTTATGGCAATCCTGTGAAGATGGTTATCAGGTCTTGTCAATAGAGTTTGGGGACTTTAACATGCACAACTGCAATTCTGTGAATAAATTACAGCAATGAACTTGAACATATTTAGAATTACAATACAACGGTTTAACACACCAATGAAGGCATGCATTATGTAGCTAAGTAAATGAATTAATATTATATTCTTGGTTCTTTCGGTAAAGTCACGTAGAAGGGAAACAATAAAATAATAAAAATATAAACCAATAAAATATTAATTAATACCTCGGCACGTGAATGTATGCAAAATATATTTAAGGTGAATGTGCTGCTTTACAATTGCTTGCTCATGCCACCACTATTGGCAGAAGGGCCTTGCCTTGAGCGATATCTATTGAGCCCATCTAGAGAACATTTCTCTTACTGTTTCACGCAGGCTGGATATCTTAAACTAAAACATTGTTTAAATTTGACCAGGTAAGGCCCACTGAGCTGTATAGCTCTTTTTCAGAAGTGACCTGGCCACAAATGATAGCTCAAAGAAGTGGCTTATCACGTAGAAATGTATAGCAGCCCAATACTGTAAAAAAAAACATGTTTCAAAATGTGGAGGGAAAAACCGGAGTAGCCAGAGAAAAATCCACACGACCATGAGGAGAACATGCAAACTCCAAATATACAGGCATTAGGGTCAGAGTTGGGATTGAACCCACCACCATCCGGTATACCAGGCGAGGTAATTAACTTCTCGCCACTGCGGCGCCCGTCTTAGGAGAGGTGAGGATTACCTACGCTTTACCCCACCATTCGCGGCCTGACGGTCGACTAACTGCTGATCATGAGGATTAGTGCATACTTCACAATGCTGGCCAGAGTGGATTGGTGAGGGAATTGAACTGAGCTAGCTGAGTTTATAGCGGGCAGAGCACTATTCATTACGCTACCAGACCAATGCTGTACAGTACGTGACTAGTGGTTGAAAAACAATTCTGAGTACATTCTGTGAGCGTAATGAAAGGTTAGAGACAAGTCTTTGAAGGATGGCACTTTAATTATTCATGACATGCAGTAACACCCACACATGTACACACACATTCAAAAGTATGCACACAGTGTAGCAAGAACGGATGATAACTACGTCTTAAATGCAATTAGCTCTCAATTTCAACCATGGATCTGTGTTTGAGAGTTGGGCAAATTGAAAATCCGTCTATTAATTCCGTTATACTTTCTAACATTAAGCAATACATTGGATAGTTCAATTGATTAACACTGTGCAGTTATTGTAGTGGCAGCTAATGAAGGTGTTTAATCAATGCATTTTTTCATTCATTTATGTATACATACAATTAGAAACACATGATAGATCGTTTCATTATTTCTTCATTCATCCAGTTTTTGGGTAATTCTATTATTTACTTGTCATTCCCGCAATTAACGATGTCTTATAAATGTGCTTAATCTTTCACGAATGTATTTTGTGCAAATCACTTGAACCATTCAGAAATGACACTGCAAGTTTACACGCAAACATGGCCAAACGGAGGTAACAACTTCTGAAACAAATCTTACATGCGCAACGATTGGGTGATGCGTTCCAAACGCATTTGTCATCGGAAGCATTTCATTCGCATTACAGAAGCAGTCAGGGGCAAAAACGTATGCAAATATAAGCTGCTGACCGCCCATACTGGACGTCTGTGAAAAAGAGCTTCACAGCTCATCGGATTCATCCAGTCTAAATCAAGATTATGATATTTCAACACAGCCCTCTTTGCTCTGGTTTATGTCCACAAATTTGGGGCAACCTTTGAATCAGTATGGCTGGTTTTCAATGGGGTAACTCCCTAATAGCGAAACAACTTCATACGATAGTTCGGTGCATATGTAGTGTTCGATTTCACTCGGACAACTTCTGTTTTTCTTCGAACACTGCTTTATTTACAACTCTCAGCATGTCATCCACATTCCACAGTATCCTGGTCGCCACGGCTCGCTCGCCGTGCTTCACTCGACTCGCTCACCACCTTTGTCTCTCCACTCCCCACGATTACTTCGCTTACTCCGCCGCTAACTTCTTCGCCTCCGATCTCCGCTATCACCGTCACTATGCTCACTCCACTGCTAACTGCTTCATCTGTTCTCCGCTATCACCGTCATTATGCTCACTCCACTGCGGGCTGTTCTTCGTCTTCAGCTCCGCTATCGCTACGCTCTCTCCACTGCTAGCTATTCCCGTCCTCAGCGCCGCTATCGCTACGCTCTCTCCACTGCTGGATATTCTCGTCTTCAGCTCCGCTATCACTCTGTCTCCAAGTTCTCCACTCTTCAATTCTCCGCTGTTGACTCCGACTTCAATTTTCCCCGCTGTTTACTCCGAGCTCTCCAACTTCAACAACCCCCAAGCTCTCCAAACTCCAACTCTCCGCTGCTGACTCGTACCCCCGCTCTTATACCCGCTCTCATTACTCCCCAATTAATTAGTCCGCGTCCCAAGGGCGCTCCGCGTGACCTACACCTGCTTCTCCTCCAGACCTTTAGGCGCCACTCTACCCCCGGCAACAGCACCAACCATTCACAGCCGTCCACGGCTCTCCCAGCTTAATTGCCCCAACATAACCTGCACTGTATTCGCCTTCGCTACAGGCTGACCCAAGATAACCCGTGCTTTCTGTGTGATCATGTAATCACGCTGTTTGTACTACGCGCCGTCCTACTCCACTACACATATTGGACCATCTTGAAGAGAGTTATTGTGCCCCCTGTTACAGATGGACGGAGCAAGGTAATGCATAAACGATTTCAACCTTGGTTGCAAAATGTTAAAGGCTCCACATCATTTCCTCCCAGGAGTTATTTTGCGAGTGTTCACGGTGTCATTTAGACGAATGTCCTCTTCCAAAGAGTATGCAGCTGCAGGCGTTCGAGCAAACTTTGCATGCATGGCTTGGCGACGATCAGGGAGACGATGACTGCGATTGCTGAATGAGTGCCTTATAAGTAAATGTCACTGAATGGTTAATGGTGTGGGTATGTGGCAGTGTGCAATGATAATCATGACTGATTGGCTGTGTAAGAGTGTGATACATGACGGTGCTGATTACGGCATTTGGTCACCTTTTTAGTTGCTGCAAAATGGATGATGTCGTAACGATGATTAATTCTATGGGCATTTGATCGTAGAAAAGATATTAACGTCGATGTTAATGGAATCCTGTACTTACAAAAAATATGATTACAATAACGAATGAACGCATTCAAATAAATTTACATTAGAAACTATTTGGATGATTAAATTAAATGTCCTCACGGATTTTAGTTTTTACA